AATATCAAATGTTATATGGCTGTTATTTATGTGCCTGATTCAGACTTTGACTTAGGCACCTTGAGTCTACTTCAGGTCTGGATTTCCCCTGAGTGGGTAAGTGGCCACCTGCACAATGCGCGCCTCCAATTCGGAATATGTAAATCAAAGCTTATTGACCATCACAAAATGAAAACCAGAACTAATTGCTGACAAAGACATTAAATACAACATGATTTGTTGCATCCAAAAACTGGAGGCAATAACTCAGACAATGTAACTTTCCAGGATTTAGAGTTACAACTAAAGAAGACAGCAGAGATAGCAATAGCAGGTCACACAAAAAAAAAAACGCAAAGAAATGATTCAAGCTGTTGACACAGAATTGGTTCAGGCTTGTGGCTATGGCTCCAAAATGTTTTCCACATAAAAGGTACTACCACAGGCCATGTATTCCCGTTTTTTTATGCCAAAAAATATATAGAAATAGAAATATTGAAGACATTTTGGCCGTTCAGAATGAGATACACCATTGACAGCACTGTGGTAAGACAGACTGTGTAGGGAGCTGGAGAGATGATCCACTTTGTGTTGCAGTTAAAAGGAAGGCTGTGAAAAAGTAAAGACACTAAACTCAGTCAGAATATGTACAATTTAACTTGCTTAACGTGTACACTGTTTGTTTCTACTCATTGCATTACTTAATGAATTTTAGTATATTGTACGATTATGGAGCAACCTTTGTTTTCACTTGTATCTTTGAGTTGATCAGATCAGCATCATCAGTGCTTGTTTCATGACAAAGAAAACAACTGCCATGTTCTCTTCACTGTTTTTCATGTCGTTGGTCTGTAGCCGCCTCGTCCTCAGCAGTAGATAAGTTGTCTGGACGAGCCAAGTGATACGTGTGAGGTGGTCTGTTATTCTCTGCATGAATCAGCTGCCTTGTCTCACAGGGATGTCCTGTTATTTTTTTTGGGAAAGTTGTTTTTAACTTATTCAGGTATAACTCTGTGAGTAGCTTTATTTTATTTTATTTTACATTTTAAAATTTTAATATTCAGTGATTTCAGTCAGATCGTGCAAACAAATCATTGTACTACAGTAAAAAGTGTGTTTTACTTACAACTGTGAACTGGCAGTATTATTTCTTGTCTCTCTCGCTCTGTAAGGATATTAATGATGAGAATGCCTTCACTACGATGTGGCCTGAAACCTGATTCTCCCCAACCTGTTAAAAACAGGGATCATGTAGAAAGGCAGCGTTGTGTGTTTAATAGTAAACGATAAACATTTTGAGTTCTCTCAACATAAATATTTTAAGTACAAATAATTTGGCTTCAAATGTATTGACCAAACACAATTTCACTCAGATAGATTTGTTATTCCATTACTCATCTTATTATTTATCCATTACTTGAGTTTTGTAAAGCAGTTTCATCAAATGAGTAAAGTCAACTCGTCCAGGTTAACAGTGCACTGTATATCTCTGTTGTAAATGCATCACCATTCGTTTTTTTCCATATTTTCACACTTTATATTAAGATTACACATTATTATTAGTAGTAGTTGTAGTGATTTTTTAAAATGATTGTGTTAAACCTGTTTTGCGGGATGCTCACACCCAAGTTTTCACTTTCACTCTTACTTTTACTAATTTTTACTTGTGTAATTGTGATGTGACAATAAAACTTAGAATTGTATTTTGTTTTTTATTCCTGTTGTCATGGTAATATTGTACTTTTTGCTCTTACTCCATACCATGCATGCATGTTGTGTATTTCCCCCTGTAAAATCTAGTCAATGTCAAATGAAGCAAACAGGCCCACAATCCGATTTGGCATCTTTAGTCAAACGTTCATATTCAAAACTATGTTCTCAAAGAAAACAAAGCACCTGCAAGCCCCTTGTCCACCGAGGTTGTGGCCTGTTCTTTTGTTGCCGGCTGGTTAAATATGCAGGAAGGTCTCTGATAGGTTACCTGAGCTGCTGGAGTAAAGTTACAGCCCTGCATTGTCCCGATCAGGGCAGGAAAGACACATACACCTACTGTATTAAAGGGTTAAGTTTCCACAGACGTGGGCTGCGGACTAACAATGCTCACACACACATACACACACTCATTATTTTCCACATTTTCCCAGTTATCTGGAGACAGATTCAATCACGCCCATTTAGAAGCTGTCCTTAACTTTGACTGACAAATAAATACACTTCCATTTTCTCATCCCCTCGCTCACAGTGCCTGCTCTGTTCAGCGGCCAGTCCCTTCTCAGTCCCATCCTGATGTGAATTGCTCTTAGAGACAAGTGTCTGTGAGATGAAGCTGCTCCTCAGGTCTGGGAGACACCAGTCTGTCTCTGGGGGAGTGGACTACTGTACCAATCACTGTCATTCATGATGACACGCACCTGGCACTCGCCTGCGCACATACACACACACACACAAACACACACACACAAACACACACACACACACACACAATGTATATGGAGAGGGGTTCGATGGACCAACAGGAATTTTAAATGAGATGTGGGAAAGCTGAAACAAAATGCTGAGGGGAGATGAAGTAATAATGAGTGGATGGAAGGAATGAGGTGAGAAGGGAGATCCTGAGAGAATCACTATCCTCTCTAACTAAATGACTGACAGACAGCAGAGGAATGCAGAACCACGGCTGGCCTCAAGCGTACTCAGTATCTTTACCCATCCTCTGGTTTGCCCACTTAGTGCGGGAAACCTTAGCCTCTCCCAAGTGGGGGAAAATGCCACTTCAATTGCAGGAAAAAACTACTCCAGATCGGGGATGAGAGTCCAGTAATCAGCTCTGACAGTGTATATGTTTTTGTGTGTATATTTTTAACAGGCTACAGAGCCCAATGTCATGAACATTACAGTCCCTTGTCCCTATAAACATACATGCACACATTTTTACAGACACAGCTATACACGCATCACCTGCTCTCTCAAGGGCATCATTGTCATTTTAACTGCGGTAGAGACATTTACTGGAAATCACTTAACAGCAACAATCTTCACCAACAAGATAATATATTTAATGGTATAATATTAATGTGCAATACACTGCAGAAACTACTTTAAATGTCACCTTTGGCACATAAATTGAGATCCTCACCTGAACAGTTAATTCGGAAATGGGTATATTAATGACTTATAATCTATCCTGTGGAGGCGATCATGTTGATTTCAGTTGTGTGCATGAACAAGTGTGTAGACTCTAAATCATCCAGTGAATCCTCACTAAGCTAACATTAAGCTAGCAGGTCAAATGGCCCTGAACCAACGTCTTGGCAGTCAGTGAAGGTGGACACTTGGGGAGACTGAAGTCACTGTTATTGCTCTCTGCTGTGTTGTGCATCAGGCTTCTGTCAGTTGCTCTTGAAAGAGAGCTTCGGCATATTTAAACATCTCATAAGCTTTCGGGTAGGTAACCTTTTACTGAACCTGCTGTGCACCCACACCCACGAGAACACACTGTGCGGCATCCGCATACAGTTTTTCCGCTGATAGTTAAAACTGATATTGGCTGTAATGTTGGCGAGCTTTAGCCATCTATGTTGCAGTGCATCACAGCTAACAGTTAGCGTCAGCTGTAAATAAATGAAGTTATTAGAAAATATAATTAGATCTTTGTGGATAAATACTGGTCTGCTGCGGTCAGCGTAACTTGTTAAAAGTGTGAACAAAGGAGAAGGAGGAGGGTGTGTAGTGAATCATGGGCTGGAAAGCCGAAGTCTCCCTTCATCTCTCTTTCTCTCTCTAGGTGGGTTAAGATTGCAGTGGGCACATGACAGAGTTAATTTGTTAGGGCAAATCATGAAATGATTGAGGGTGACATATCTTCTGATCTTGCCATAAAGTTACACCTATGGCAAAAGGACACACACACACACACACACACAAATTTCTTTAGTTCATTTTAGATGGACACACAAACCAAAACATGCACACGCATGAAAAAAAAAAAAAAACCACCCACTGAAAACCAATTCCTTTAAGTATGATGTATTCAGCTAACTGCGAGGGCCAAAATTCCTTGCACATGTATGGACAATTAGGCCTAATTTTGGCCCAAATTGCTTCCTGTAATGATGAGTGGACATAGTTAGCAGGCCGCTCTCAACTGCCGAACACAAAGAGATCTAAAGTATCAGTTCCAAGTCTAAAGAGTGATGGAGAAAAATGCTAAATGATCTCCGCTCCCCCACCCCACCACAAACACACACACACACACACACGCACACACACACACGCACACACACATACACGCACACGTACACATACACACCTCCAACTCCCAGCATACAACCTGCCTCCATTCCCTAACAGCAGTGATAAAATCATTAGAGTCTTAGAGTTAAAAAACTTTAAAGATGAAGAAGGAAAAGGCTGCCAGCTTTCTCCAGCCTTCTGACTGACTGACCCGCCCACACGTACAAGCCCACTGGTGGACTAAAAGCGCCACACGCATAGGCATTTTTTTTTTTTTTTTCCACCCACCTCAGCGTCCTTTTCAGACACAGAAAGAGAAACAAACTAAGGCACCAAAAGACATCATCTCGTACACTTGCACACTTTCTTTTAGGTTGTGTATCTGAGAACAGGTGCATTACAGCGGAGGTCTTTGATGTGATGACCTCTTGTCATCTCACGCATGTATCCGTGCATGCAACTTGGCTATTTTTCCAGGAACGGTGCACATTGTTCAACATCACTGTAGATTTGTCTTAACATATTATGGCCCTTGATGCTGTTAATATTGTAGCAGCATCTTAACTTTAAGCCAGCCTCATCCATCTGAGGCTGTGGGTATTCGTACAAGTGTTTTTCCAGGAAGCTGGAGTGGCTTCGTGCATCACGGAGAGTGTTTGCAACTGTGTGGGTGTTTTAGTGTGTGATTGTATATCTGGAGATTTAATATGTCTGTGTGTGTGTGTGTGTGTGTGTGCAGGTGTGTCTCCCGTGTGTGTGTGTGTGTGTGTGTGTGTGTGCACACTGACCTCCGTCTGGAGCGTACTGGCACGTTGCTCCTTGGCGCTGAGCGATTCCTTTAGCACCTCGATGTGTTGCTTGCAGTCTGAGTTCTGATTGGTCAGTGTTTCCAGTTTGGTCTGCAGGGCCTGCATCTCTGACTCCTTCCTGTTCAGCTCCTGCTTCAGCTGCTCTATCTGGCAATCACATACACACACACACACACACACACACACACACACACACAAACATACACACACAAGTTTGTTATGAAAACCTTTGAGTCATCATTAAACAAAACTGATATAGTTGCAGATAACAAAAACTTTCAAAAATGAGAAAAAGTACGGCTTTTCCTCTCTGGCAAACAGACACACACAGAATCCACATACACACCTCCTGCAAAATAACACCAATGTGTGTTATGCTGTTGTATATTACTGAATCATATTACTGAACAGAACTTTCAAAACAAACGAGTGTTTTAAAAGCACACATTCATTTGATTGCAGAAAGAGGCTTAAATACGCTATTTAACAACGTTTTTCCTGTGCTGCGACACATTTTGGTACAACAGAACTTTTTATCATTCATTTAGACATGAAATTGTACACTAAAATATCTAAACATGCCAATTGTGTCATGATACATTTATTTGAAGAGACGATAAATTACCACACTGAATTATCGCCCAGCCCTACATTATCAGTCCTCACTCAGGGGAGTCCCAGGCCTACTGTCTGCACTGTGGACACACCAAGCCAAACAGCCAAAGGGTGAAAAAAACACATGCAAAGTTATGGGGAGCAATATTACAACACTCACATAGCCGACAGATTACAGACTGTTTCGTACAGAACAGGACAGAGCAGAACCACAGAGGAAATCAAAATGCACTAGCAGAGGGAGGTTTCTGTGCTGAGCCTAGCTATGTGCAGAAGATTGGCATCTGTCTACCAGTGCCAAAAATGCAAAAAAAAAAAAAAAGGCTGATTCAAAGAGAGATTTGTCTAATTGTGTGTGAGCAGGGTTCACCTCATAACAGGGGAATTCTGACTGGAGCGCAGCTTGGCCAATCAACCCTCACTCAAAGAAAGAGAGAAGAGCCCAGGAGAGCAGGGAGAAGAGGGACAAAAGAGGGGGACGAAATGGGAGGTGGAGTCCAAGAGGGACATTATCGGAGAGGTGAGACTGGTGAGAAGGTAGTAAGGCAGTGAGAAAGGAGTCTGAAAAAGTGGACCAAAAATAATATGATGAAGTGATGGGGCATTATAGATAAAATAGAAAGAGCGAAACGAATGGAATAATGAGACTAATGAGATGGGTACTTCTGCTTGTTCTGTGATCCAAGGCTGCTGTGTAGGGAGGAGGAAGGTGGGAGCTGGTCTGATGGAAGACACACATGGTGACAAGGCCTGCTCCTAGAGAGACACAAAGACAAGAGGACAGCAAGCCGCTGACTACGACACACAGCAAGCTGGGAGACCTCTGCAGTTTTCCAGCCAGCTGCAAGCACATCCACACACCTCTACGGAGTTTCATACTGGCTGAGGTTCTGCAAGAAATGATTATCTGGATAAATAAATACATCTGCTCTAATGCTTACTTATCATACTTGAACAAATTTCCGTGCTCTCACAAGCCACTTTATAGTGTTGGAGTAGATCAAAGCCCGGAGAGGAAACCAGAGAAGAAAGCATCCCCGTCCTCTCTGGTTTCTCTCTTATCACAGTCTCACCTCAACACCAGCCGCCGCCACTGCTGAAAGACCAGCACCCTAAACACTTCAAGGATATAGAATGAATCTGTGTGCCTGTGCATATCTGTGTGCTTGGTGTCTTTCTGTGTTTCTGTGCGACTGTACGCAGAAAGATGAGAAACGGGAGAGCGAGCCAGGGCCATCGCTGTGATGTCTATCATCCCAGGTCAGCGCGGGTGAGGAGAGAGCTCTTTCCTCTGTCGTTGTAAGCTCACATTCACCTGTCAGGGCCCCATTCATAAAAACATCTCTTTTATGATTGCATCAGGAACTTCCCCGATGCAATGACAAATGGGCCCTACAAAGAGCACTATTAATGAACCAAAGAGGAACATTTTCACATGGAGAGCTAATCATGGGCTTCAGCCATCGTGGACACACAGCTAGAAACTCTGTGAAACCTGAACCTACATTTTTTAACATGGTTCCTGTAGTCAACTGGCGGCCTGTGGGCCACATCCGGCCTGCAGAGTATTAATGAATTCAGAAAATGTGAGGAGGAAAAAAAAATGCATTGAGGTTTTTAGGATATCTAACATTTTTGTTTCCCATACATTTATTTATTAATGTTGGTCCCCCACAATATCAAATTTTTTTTTTTTTTTTTACAATTTGAAATGGTTAAAACCTTATTTAATCTTAGAGCTGAATGTCTGATCCCTCAATCCAGATGAAAATATTCCCTAAAACGACACAAAGAGAGCCTGGACCAGAGGAATTAGCAAAACAGAGAACCTACACACTTGAGAAAACACAGGCGGGAAAGCTGAACAGTCCGACCAGTGTGATTAGCTATCCAATTAATTTGTTGTGAATACTTCCAGGCTTCAACCAGTGCTGCTGTGGCAGCTGAAGCAGCAAGAGAGGGTCAGGAAGGGATAGCTGTAGCTAATGAAGAGAGAGATGTAGGAGAGGAGGAGGAGGAGGAGGAGGACAGTCAGTTGGTTCTATGTCACAATTAAAATATCTCCAGTAAAGCACCTTGCACACTGATCAGCTTCAACATTTCAACCAGTAACCAGTTAGTTTTAATATTGCATATCGGTGTATATGTTATTATTTAAAAATTGATTTAATAAACCATCACTCCTCAGTGAACTGCCTCCTTGGCAGAGGTCTGAGAGCATTTTCTACTTAAGGCCTAAGTATCTGGTTATCAAACTGTTCACACTGACATAAAAATATTTTTTGTAATATTAAAAAGAAAATCTAACTAATTAGGCCCAAATAAATGTATATATGTATATATATGTATGTGTATGTGTATATATATATACATACACACACATATATATACTTTTTTTTTTACTTTTAAGTCTGGCTCCCACAGTGTCTGGCCCTTGGAAAATATTGCTGATGACCCGTGCTGTTGCACTCTGTTCATGGCCCCATTCTTACTGGTGTGTCTCAATGAATAAAACAGTACCCAGCCTGCGATAGAGAAATCTTAGTCAGGCCTTTCTAAAGATCTCTCTGCCAGCTGAGGGGTAGGACAGTAAACAGACACGGTGGGCTGTAAGCTGATAGGGCCGGAGTTTGTTCCCTGGGAACAGGCAGCCGTCACAGATAGGAGAGCAGCACAATGCTTAGTCATCAAACAGGTAAAGTAGGTAAGGCACACAAGAGCTGAAGAAATACATTTATAAGCATAGGAATTTTTGGTATCCATGCAACACAAGGGGCTGAGGGCTTCGATTCAGCAGCCGAGAGACACATCATACTGTTTGGCATTAATATTTCTCCACACTTATGCTTGCTTCTCCATGGGCATGCAATAGAGACATGCAACATGCACATGACAGGTTCTCACGCGGCTGCTATTGATGTCTTAAGGCAAACATGCATCACGCAGGTCATGCAGGGAGGAGTCGTCGCAGGTGACGTGCAGAGGCGTTCTACCTTAGTCTTCATGAATTTAGAGTGGCTCTTGTAGACCTCCACTTGCTTGAGCTCATCCTGCCTGTCGTCAGGGTGCAGCAGGCCGCTGGTCTTTAACATCTGGACCTCATCCTCTAAGTCTCTGATGTTCCTCTCCAGGGAAGAGATTTTGGTGTCCTGCACCAGCAACAGTAGAGGCAGGCAAAGAGTCAGGAAAGATCTGACTATGGATATCACACGTTTCATGTTATTGTTAAGATAATGATCCGTCTGTCTATCCATTGATCTATCAATATATCTTTCTAAAATGCAAAGTACAAGAGGACTGAAAGAGGAGGCTGACAAAAGGTGGTTCTGACAAATTAAAAGAATAAAATTTTGTGCCGACAAAATTTTATTCTGAATCAGAATATTGGCTTTTTTTTTTTTTGGCTGACAGCTCTCTCCTTCACTTGGTCATAACCATGAATCCTTCCCACACTTGATTTGATGAACAAACCAACTATATGAGTTGCATCAAAACTACAATGGTGAATAATAACCATATACAATCTGCCGGCATCACAAAAGTATCTGGCATTTAGAAATATGAAATGAAAATACTCCCAGAATACAGAACTGACAACAATTAGCGTCCTGTATCTAGATTATAACCTATTAATATATAGCCCTACAGCTGACTAGAGTGTGTGGAAAAAAACTGGGGAAATATCCAGACAGAGCTGTTGTGTGCAGCCAAGATGTTTTCCTATGCTGTATCTATGAGGGAATGGAAGGGTCTGTCATGGACAGGTCCTGAGGTTGTTTAGCTGCATGGATTCAGACATACGTTAAATGCTAAACCTTGGAAGAGAAGAGAAAGGTAATTGAATAAATGGAAACAGACTGTATGATGCCATCAGCACAAACCACAGGCAACATGTAAGCATCTGACCTCTATTACATCCTCTGACATCAGCCCTGCCTAGCACATGGTGCTGAATTTACCATCCTAAACACACAAACACATACCAAGCAAACAGGAAGGAATAAAGGTGCATATGACACACTTGCAAAAAGAGTGTATGCAAGGACACAGATTTTCAATGTAGACCCAGGGGAAAAAAAAAAAAAAAGTCAAGGTAAGGCATTCAGGCATTCACCAAAGTGCACACACACATACACACACAAGACAACAATGCTATTCAATCATTTCCATTGGTCCATGTTTACTTCTGTATCATAAGCCATGCCCTGCCTTTAACCGATTGCTATCTTTTTCTGCTCCAGAAAACGGAGAGAGAAAACATCACCCAGAGGAAGAGAAACAAGGCAAACCCAATGAAAATAAAAAGGATAATATCAAAAACAACATTCAGTACAATAGGAATACATGTAATAAAAGCTGCACCTCAAAACCACTGAAATATAAACTTCTGTACTTGACGGTGCTGCACTCCAACCAAGAAGGAATTTATAATAGGGATAGAGGGAAAGACAAACACTGTATATCTGTAGCCCATGCTGAGTTGACAGAAGACTCATGAGGCGAGCACTCGTTACTGTACCTGCCAGATAACGTCGGGATCAAAACAGAAAGGGGGGTTGGTGTTCTGTAATTACAAAGGGGAAATATGCAGCATTCAGAGGCAGCAACAACACAGACAACGCAGACGGTGGGACAAACGGTGACAGGGCGAGGAACATGCAGAATTTCCACAGTTGCATTAATACTCAATATCACAAAAGGAGGACTGTGTAAAAAACCTGCCGATCCCAGGAAATATCTCATCAACATGACCAAGGGAAGTTATTGCATCTCTCACACTCTTACCCCTTCGTATGTCTCATCCCTCTGGCAACGTTTTCTATGCCTTTTTCTAATTAATGCAGTCATATTTAATTTGGCCTCTCTCATGCATTTACAGCACTGTGGGCATCCCTGGCTTACACATGTGCAGTTTGTTAACAGGCAGACAAATCACAAAGTATGTGTCAAAAATAACTGTGGTTTTGCTGTAAAGGAGCCGCTTTTGGAACAAGCGTTAGTTGAATGAACGCTAAATATGTGTGTGTGCGTGGGTGTGCATGCAGACATATGTGGAGTCAACTGCATTTTTCACAGCTCCAACGACTTCAAAGGGCTGAGATGAGAGTGAAAGCTTCCATATGTGACATTTGAAACAAATTGAATAAGTGCTCGACTCTGCATGGGCCAATAATGGACTTTACTTGGGTATGGCCGCCGTACAGACACGAGGCAACAGTAAGGCAATGTTTCTTTTAACATTTCTATTTGTGCATGAATGTTTGTGTCTGCATTTACGGCCGGGCCAAATCCTCTGCTACTGCTCACATTACAGCAGCGCTCATCTATAATTAAAGTTTTGTTGGTATGAAGCTGATATCAAACTGAACCAGAAAACATGCTGCGGCTGGATGAGCAAATTACACTGTTGAAACGAGATCACAACATCAGATTTGAATTTTTTATTAAAACACACCCACCACAGTTTAAACTTGCTGAGCTCAAATGTGTTTGAAGATAAACTGGCAAACACATCTGATGTTATGTGAACTGATCTATTACAGCAATACACACTCATCATGTTTCACATTATTACTTAAAACGCTGTCTGCTCTTGTTTATTGCAGATTCCCTGTAAGTCCTACCTTCATATCAATGACAGTCTGCAGAGCCCTGGTTTTGGCCGGATCGGCCTGGAGCTGGTTGCGGCGATGGAGCTCCTGGGGAGGGACCCGGTAAAAATAAGCCTGGCGGCTCATCATCTTTAGCACTTTCTAACACCCACAAGCTTCAGAGACACTTAAAAAGATGCACTGAACAGACCGGCCAGTCACAGTTTCGATCTCTCTGTCTTTTCTATTACATTTTGTTAAATATTCCAATGTTATCCCAAACTGTACGTCCTCAAAAATGCTTGTTTTACAACCCCCCCCCCAAAAAATCCTATGATCTTTAAGCCGGTTCCTGGTTGGATGCTCTCCTGAGGACTTCTGCTGGCGTGTCTTTTCCCTGCTCTGTTTTTTCTGTCTCTCTGTCTCTGTCTCGTTCGTTAGATGCTCAGCTATAGGTCACATGAATCTGTCTCCATCACTCTTTCAGTCTGAATCTTTATATGTCTCATCCCTCACTTGTTGTCTCTGTCTCTCTCACGGATGTCTCTGGCATTCTGAAGCTCTTGCTTAGCAACACTTTCTGCCAGCACATGCGCCAAGCTTCTTCAATCAATAATTAATGGTAGCTCTGACCGACAACTATGCTGAGACAAAAGCACACACACATTCAAGCTAATGGGAAAATTGGAGTGCATTAGGCCAGGTCCATTTGAGAGAAGTAACAACACTGTAATGTAATAATGTGCAACTCCAGGGAGCAATACATGGTAAACATTTGCAATTATTGTAACATTTGATCTGCTGGACACTGAGCAGCTACACTGGAGCAGTTGGGGGTTAGACGCACATCAGTTGTGGTAAATGAGGGAGTGGCCCTTGCTCAAGGGCACCTCAGTGGTGCCAAGAGATGCTCTTTCTGTATCACAGAGGCTGGGCAAAGCTTTACGCCACCACTTCCACCTTCACAGGGAAGTCACTGCAGGGCTGTTGTGTTGGACTGTACACTGCTACAGTGTATGGAAAGAAAAGAGAGAGAGCATTGGTTCATAACAGAGAATGTTATGTATGTGTATTTATTACTAATGAGACCAAAACCAAGAAGTCATATTGAACTGAATGAACCAATTACATATGTTCTAAAAATACATCCTCAAAGGAAAATCAACAGCTTTGAGTGGCATTGAAAAACAAGGGAAACTGCCTCTTTTACCAGTGGGACAGATACACAGTGCAAAGGTACAGATGGGTTAAATGGAGAGCAACTGAAAAACTATCAGAGCCAAACATGGAAACATGACAGACAGTCCAGTGGGAAGAGAAAAGCCACCAAATCAGACAGAAACCACACGGAGATGGGACAGTCATACTGAGACAGCTCATCAGGCAGTCAGAGGACATAGAGAAGAAAAGCATGAACAGAGACAGAGGGAGAGGCAACAGGTTGCCATGATTTCCCATTGCTCCCATTTGTCCCAGTGCTCCCAGTGAGTTTAAAAGAAAGGAAACAAGAGCCTTATCCTCTTGTCTGTGTCAGCCGTGGATAAGGAGGGATTACTGCTGTCAGAGCATTTCTCCCACAGACTTGCATGCCCACTGACTGCTGCCACAATCCTAATCTTCTATTGACCATATGTGTATTAATGTGTCACCCTGAGTGTAGGTGTGTCACTGTGTGCCTGTCTGTCTTAGTCTGCCTGTGATCGTTTATCTGTCCCCCTTGGAGAAAGTGCGGGTAGTAGCTCCTTATCAACAACGGTTACGACACAGTTCTTGAAAGTGTTGTGTCTCTCAATGGGGGGAAATTAAGTCATGCAAGAGAGCATGTCATCAAAGACCGTCTCCTCTGCTCAACATGTGTCAGAGGACCGAGCATATGGAATGAATAGGATCAAACGTAACACTATAGCAATAAGTGCCGGCATCCTGAATGAAGGATACGGTCAAAAGGTTCAATTCTAGCCCGGAGGCAATGGTGTCATGTACGCCATGCGTAGACTAGAACATGCACAGATTCTACATAAACACGCAGACGTACACTCTCTTACACACACACACACACACATTCATCAATCACATTCCCATCCCTTCTCCATCAGTGAGAGGAAAAGGGAGAAAAAGGAATCGCTTTTGCTTGCCACAAATGTGAAAATGTGTCCGCCTATCAGCCTAAAAGAGCAGCTTTTAAAGAGCAGTTTGAAAAGACAAAGGGAAAATCAGAGGGAATCAAAGCCTTGCTGAGAAACAGGGAGAGGGTGAGGAGAAGGTTTGAGGGTGTAATTTTGTCCCGATAAACTTTTCCGCTCAAACATTCTGGGAGATCAACAGAGCGTGGCGAGTATGTGGTGCCCGGGGTGTGGTGGGGAGGGAGCGTGTGTGTGTGTGTGTGTGTGTGTGTGTGTGTGTGTGTGTGTGTGTGTGTGTTTGCTGATGGTATTTACAGTGGTCTTCTAAAGTTAGTTGAGAGGGGCTTCATTAGCGGAGGCTGAAAGTAGCCAATCAAAAACCGAGCCCTAAAAAGCCCCACCCGGGACAGAACGGCCGTACCACAACAGATAGCAGATCAGTTTGAGAGAAAAACAAAGAGTGAGTGGGAAATGTTGTCAGACAGACAGACATACAGATGAGAAAGGAGGGAGAAAACGACATAAACATTTTGAAGCTGACGGACCGGTGGCATTAGAAAGTGAGGAAAAAGAAAAACCAGGAAAGAGATTACAAAAAAAAGACGGATTTGCTGACATGAACTTCCACTTCTTCTCAACATGCTGGCACTAGAAAGTTTTAAAAAGCTACATTTCTGAAGTTTCATCGATGTTTGAGAGGGGCTGCGGGGGCAGACAGAGTGGGCCTGCCAAAAACAGCAGCAGGACTTCTGAAGCCAGTCATACTATAGAAAAACAAGGGAGCTATAAGTGCTTTGCCCTTACGTTCTTAATAGCAGAGCAATGCTACATACTCACAGTCTCACGGATCCAATACTGAGTTAGATGTCTTCATATACAGTAGGGGCCCTAACTGTGCCCAGAGCCCCTAAGGACCAGATGAAATCTGCAGTATGATATGTATGAAAGTAGATATACCATCCCCAAGTAAAAAAATCTCACAGCGAGAGTGTGCATGTGTGTGCGTGCACACCATTGGCAGCAGGTCAGGGCTGGGCAGGAACAGACCAGTGGTGCGGCTGTTATTATTGGGTCTACAGGGACCTGGCGGCTGGGGAGAGTCGATTAGGCCCAGATTTATGCCTCTCAGCATGTGTGTGCGTGTATGTGTGTGCCATCACACATAACTTCGGTTCACAGTTGGTGCATGTAACCGCCACAGCAGTTAAATCCTAATAGAACACTGCCACTTTGTGGACAATGCGAGTACTGCAAAAATGTACATTTTCCAGTAAACATTATAAAGGAGAGGCTGTTTGAAAAGAAGAACTCAAACATACTACTTTATATACGGCTTCCACATCATTCTGACTAGATGTTGACTCAATAGATGTGCCAGTGTGTTCTCTATGTCGGGTCTGTGCAGCAGAGACAGTGTGACAGCTGACACACTCAGAAAGGAAACACAAGGGAGAGAGCAACACCACACACAACCTTCCCATGACAACATACATCAGCAGGTGAAGGAGTGATGGAGTGAGCACTATATCCATACATACTGGACCCCAGCAGATCATACACACAAAAACACTGACAGCTGGTTCAAGTAACTCCACATCTGGCCATCTGTAAGTGCTGAGTGGTACAACAAAGAGAGAGAGAGAGAGAGAGACAGAGAGAGAGAGAGAGAGAGAGAGAGGAACGGGAGAGGAGAAAAAAAGGATATTTCAATTCTCTGTAGCCTCTTACTCAATTCTCTGATTTGAGTCACACAAACTGACATAGGTTCATGCCGTTTCACACCTGTCTCCTAAACCTTCCTCACATAAAAAAATATGGTAATATAAACACAAATCTAAGGTGATAATTTCTCTTCAAACCAGCAAAGGACACCAAGAAAACCCCCATGTCAACCCTCAGCCATGTTTGAAGAATAAATAAAAGAGAGAGGCGAACTGAAAATGGAGGCATTTATTATCCCAGCTCAAGCTAAACAAGCTGGGCCATTTAAAAGAGAGTAATGGGTGCGGTAATGAAAGGCAGTTGGGCTGGTTTCCTTTGGAGCTAATCAAAAAAACTAAGAGTAGTGCCCCCTAATTGAGGCAATAGCTGCACTACCATCACCGGCTTGCCTTCCCTAACCATGACAAGTGCAAGTGTAAGGCTAAATTACCGCTCTGACACATAAACAATGGCAAGAGGCCTCCACAGGAAGTAGGTTTCTCCTTACAGTTAAATAGAAATCCTTCTGTTAATCTGTATTCAGCCCAACCTTTAACACTCAAATTCCACACGAACCAAAAACTCATGAAAGCGTCAAATTGAAACTGTCGGGCAACTAAACTATTCTTCACCACAATGTCAATAAACTATATTTATTTTAACTAAACTATGTTTTACTAAATATCCGGAATTTGAATGTTTCCATTCATAAATGTTGAATTTTTAAGTGTCTGAAATAGTTTTACTTTACTTTCTAAAAATGAGTGAGTCTTATAATTCACTACTGGAGACTTATTAAGAGACTTATTGATTTACTGTTGTTTGAAGTGAAGTTGGACAATGCAATTTATCCCTCAGCAACTACTTTATTCACTACCTTGAATATGTTTTCCTAATCCTCATTACAATATAATTACATTCAAAATATTTAAAATATTTTTCTACTTGCACTTGGACCATGCACACTATTAAACATAGATCTTAACATCTGATGTTCTGTATATACAATCCACATAATAACAATACAAATAGCAGTAGCAATTGAAATAGCTCTACAACATTGAGTTCTGTGCTTCTGTCACTTTCAGCAAAGGCTGAAAAACTGAGAAATGAACTGCTACACTAACTGCGATTAGAGCAGTAATCAATTCAACTCAATTCAACACATCAAAGTATGCAGGTATGCAAGTATGCAAGGGAACCTGTCTGCAGTCTGTCTGTGTTGTGCGTGTGTGTGTGCCTCTCCATCTCACACACACACGCAGACGTATATATACATATATCCGCACACGGAGACTCCATCACCCCATCTCAACCTCAGAGCAGAGGAGGCCAGAAGGGGACGAGGGAAAAAAACGAAAGAACAACAATGACCTCTCTTTTCAATCAGGGCGGTCAGAGTGTTTTCCCTCATTAATCATACATTAATATTCAGACAAACATAGCCTGTTTTTCTACCTTAGAAAAACACTCCTTTCTCCCATCTCTCCCACTCTCTCTCTCACCTCTCACACCCAGTCACCCGCTCCTCCTCCACTGCACACACAGTACGTGTTAAGCTGTCAAGCAGTTAAAAATAGCACAGCACACAGAGTGTGTGTTAACAGGTACTCACCTCTTACACACACAGCATGGTTAGGTCCTATACATACACACAGACACACACACACACATAAATACACACATGCACAGCAGCGGCTGCATTAGCATGGGCTGAAACACCCACGCTCCCCTCTGACAAAATCACCACAGTGACCAGACACCCGGCATGGGTGGATATCCCATCAGCCACCGGCAGCCCAGTGAGGGAGTGTCCTTGCTAGAAACGCTAAGCCGACAGGCCCCAGATGTGCACACATGGTCGCATACCCACAGACGCACAAACACACACACGCAATCATTCGGACTGGGCACAGCAAACAGAGGCCGACAAACACACGCAAAGACAGAAAAACAAGAACACTGTGACACAAACAATATCTGGATCCAAGCGCAGACACACAACCTACACACACACACAAACACACACACACACACACACACACACACACACACACACACACACACACACACACACACACACACACACACACACACTGACAGAGAGGTAGAGAAATTAAAGGCTAAGAAGATTTAGGAGTTAAAAATAAACAAGGCAGGAGTGAGGAGCACAGAGCAGACTACTGCTCGCCCTCCTGGCGAAGGATACAGACACACCTGTGCTACACCCACGTTTATTGGAGGCCTGCTACTTTTAAATTATCAATCAATAAAACTGAGTCTCCCAGGAGTAAGACTGAAAAAATAGGAAAGATGTGACTTGGCTCCAAAATCAGCAAACACGATTGGTATTTTTTTGTATTTTAATTGAGAATTTTTGAAGAGCTACGATCAAAACTTCTGCCTCATTAAATTATGTTTAAATTCCACCGCACAACAAGCTCACTGCATGTCACATACTATAGAATAAATGCCAAATGCCAAACGCTGCATACAAAGCACAGAAAAATGGCAAGTGAGCAACTGCGGTATGAGCATGTGCACACCCAGGAACACACACACACACACACACACACACACACACACACACACACACACACACACACATATACACACAGAAACAGAGTCAGATTGTAAAACTGCATGGCTGTACAAAGGCTTAGAGCTGTCCGTATGTTAATCTGGCCCATTGATAAGACCTGCTGAGCTGCTTTCTGCTGCCACACTCGAGATAATACAAACACATTCACAGGTACACACACACACACTTATATATACATACAGACATATACAAATACATGCAGAGACAAATATGATTAATTAATCTCATCACTGAATATACAAATTAAAACATGAAATACATGAAGCAATAGATCAAAAATGCACTTAAATAATAATATGGAAAAAGTAAAATCTGTATTGGTACTGAAAATTAAATGTCGTCTTGTTTTTAACGAACCATCACTCACTAGACTGTATGGTGGTAACATTTCAAAAATCATTCTGGGAGAAAACTGACTTAGTAATTGCTTTGAATTATTAAGTTATTACAGAATTGCAGTTGTGCATCATATCAATATATCAATATTAAAAAAACACCTCTACTGTTAAAATCACTTTGATACTTTAACTGAATGCTACAAATACATAACCTGGGGCCTTAAAAAATATGAGGAAGAAAAACACACCTCTCTCACATGCATGTTTTCCAGCTGTGCTTCGGCCTCCTGTGCTGCCATGGTGATGATGCCTGTCCGCTGTCCCCGACCCCAGTGTCCCTGACCTTGACCTTGGCCCTGAAGCATCTCCAACAGCCTCTGGATGCTCTCATCCCGAGCGCCCAGCGTCTGCTTCTGAGAGTCGATTCTCATCTCCATCTCTTCCATGGTCTTCCTCAGCAGGAACAATTCCTTGGCTTGTCGCTCGTGCTCCGACTGCAGCCGGAAGAAATTCTCCTCTGACTGATCGGCAGGAGGTGGAGAGGAGAAGCCGTCACACCCAGGCACCTGGCAGGGGCTGCAGGGCCGGAGGGAGCTAGAGCCGGGCGCTGCCGCCGGACCTTGGCTGGTACTGTAGAGAGGCTGATTTGGGCAGTTCCTTGGCCCAGGCTGAAGGGTGTTGGCTGGGCTGATTCTCTGCATGGTTATTGCAGTGTTACAGCCATACCCAGGGCTGTGAATGATGATGTCAGCTTCCTGTTGCCTTGGACTGTAGGTGTTGGATGGACTGGCTCTGGGGCTGTTCTTCGGCCCAGGACTGTGCAGGTTGCTGGGGCTTTGTCTGGGGCTGTGACCAGGACTGAGCCCCCCTCTGTGGTCCTGGTCCATCTGGAGTTCGCGATAGGAGCTAGAGTTCCCCTGCTGCCGCTGTTGCTGCAAACGACTGTTCATCTCCCTGTGAGCCCTGAGCTCCTCCTGAAGCTCCTGAACCGTTAACGGAAGCTGCTGCAAAAACAAAGAAAGCTTGAGCCCCCATTCATTCAATAGGCACACAAACATACCACACACACAAAAATTCCTAAACACATGATGACACACATACAAAAAAATTGACTGTATTGCTGGGTACATAAAACAAACCTTGTTTCTTCTGATATCCCCATGCTGCAGCAGAGAGATGTGACATAAGAGAGACACACACACATGCATAAAGCCAAAATAGAAAGCAGACAGAAAAAATAATACTCTAAATATCAAACCATTATGTAGATTACTTTAGTTTGTACAGTTGTTAGGTGATGGTCACATGCTTTGGCCACAAGGGGGCGACATATATCTTCAAACCACAAGGAGAGGACAGTGTGTACTGTGACCAAGTGCAAAAATGACTGTGGTTTGTTTGCAATGAGATGAACATCAAAAGGGGGGAAAGACAGGGTAAAGGGTGATGGTACTCCACATGAAAGCTATGAAAAATGTCCAAGTTTACAGAGTAACTCAAAGACAATCAGAGTGACAGCTACTGCCTGACTACAGAGTGGATAGACTGATAAAACAAATACATTTCCCCCACAGTTAATTTAGTTAGTTAGTTAGTTAATTTACCGTCATATAGAATAGATAACTCTAAATCTTGAAAAGATCTTTGCCTAAAATTAAATACATTTTTGTCAGTGTGAATAATGTTTGTCTGCACGAAGTGAGTTTTGTATTGCCGGACCCATCAGTGCATGAATAAAGCTGATTTATTTGTCACCACATTTATGACTAAGTGACAAAGATAGTCCCCAATACAGAAGTGCTGAGAAAAACACATTCTTGCTGTTGCTGCACGTTCCAGTGCAAAGTAATTCAAAATACAATATGTTCATTTACATTCACAGCTCACATCTCTCCTGACTTGGAGATATAAATTCAGTCTGTGCTTGAAAAAATGGACACACAGCATTCTTGACGATTGACTAAGCAAAGTGAAAGAATGCTGTGAGGAAAATCAAACAAAAGGAAAAAACACACACACACACACACACACACACACACACACACACAGTACCATACACAACATAATGTCAAAAAATGAAATGAAACAAACACAAAATGGAAGTTAAGCTACTAATCTTTTCATCTGTGTGAAGGTGTTACTAATTTTTTCTCCTCTGCTTGAGTCCAGAAGGTGTGGAGCACCAAGGACGCACAATTGAGATGTAGGAGGGAGGCGAGGGCGACCACGGATAATCAATGCAACAAGCTAGCACTGAATATCAAGTCAGAGTGGGTGGACAATCCTCCACACAAACACACGCACATACACACACACACAAACGAGACTGTAGACACAAATGCATATGTACAAATGTACACACTATGCATACACACACACACACCAAACAAACAGATGGTTAGGGGACACCCCTGGTCATTGCAGCTGAGAGAAAAGGTGACATTCTTTATGCTAATGACAAAGTTCTCTTGTCAGACTGAACTCTTTCCCGAGTGTCTCAAAGGGCAAAAAAACAAGGGAAAGGACGAAGGAAAAAATAAAGAGCAGGAAAGTGATAATCTGAAAGGAGAGATGGGAGGTAGAGGTGATAAGGGAGAGAGTGGTGATAGCAGATAAGAGTTAGAATAGTGGTGTAGCTTTTCTGTTTTCAAACTAAACTAGTAAATGAAAGAAAATTGTCTTTTATTCTTATTTTATATGATAGAACTGTAAATATTGGGACAGAAAATTAAAGTTGAAAGACAAAAAGGGTCAGTAACAATTTAATGAGTGTTTGCTATTGCTATCGAAGCTGCGATCACTGTCAACTATGTCGGTAAGAAAGAGACAGGGAGAGAGAGTGTAAGAAAAAGACAGACGGAAAGAAGAGAGAATACAGCTTAAATGAAAAGTCGATGAATTGACTATTTTGATAATAAATCATTTTTCAAGCAGAAATTCCAAGAAGTAAAAATAGCTGTTTTCAGCTTCTTGTATGTTAAGATTTCCTGCTCCCTCTTTTTACTGTTACTGTACACTGAATATTTTGGGTTAGTTGGACAAAGCAGGACGACTGAAGACGTGACTTTGAACACCAAAACGCAAAACTCATAATTAACTTGAATTTTTCACAGTTTTCTGACACTTTAGCTCCAGCAGATGAATGAAAATATTTGTTAGTAGTAGCCCTAACAAAGAGAGTCATATAACGTTTTACAGTGAATAATGTTTTGCTGGCAGGACGCATAAGCTAACATAAAGCAAAGTGACTTATTTGGTTACATTAACAGAACTGAATGACAACTGATACTAAAATCGGACACATTGTTTTTCTGTATCAAGTCATATTAAAGATGCTAGAAGTGTGGCAGATTGTATGAATTAAAATTCAGCGCAGTGATCATGAGTTCAGCGTGAGGACAAAAAAGTAAGTCAGCTTTTTTTTATATTCAGATGACTGGCTAGAGGGGCTGGAGGACGCACCATCACATGTGCATTTAATGGAAGAGTGCAGGGGCAGGATCTTTTCTTTTTATTTGTGTAATGGCATCTGTTTCAAATGGACCTCAACCCCCCCCCAAGATTTTTAAATGGACTGCCAGTTTGGATCACATTAATGAAATTAAGTAACTATATTGTAATTGTATTCATACGGGTCTCATAAGCTACATAAGGGTTATGGGATCATAAATCTAGAGGTAAGGTACACTTAGTAGTTTCAGTAGACAAACAAAGATAAAAGGAAAAACACATGCAGGTAAAAACACAGGGCAAGAGAGTGAGTTGGTTTTGGAGATACAAATGAGCCGATACTTAGTTAAAAAAAAAAAAAAAAAAAAAAATAATAATAATACAATAGTTGTATGAGTCTGTCACCTGCAGGAGCAGAACAGAGACAAACACATCCATCTATCACAGACAGGGCCAAGTCAGGACCAGCCTGTAGATACACAGAGACTGTCCTGCTCCATTTTAATGCCGCAGACACAAGAATGTCACTGATAGTAGTTCAGTGAAAAAAAGACATTTATTGTCTATAAATCTCACTGAAATCCCTCTGGCAGCTTTTGTGGGTGGTAAAACAGTGTGTGTATCTTTTTGTGTACCCGTATGTGAGTTGTGCGTGCATGTGGCTTTCTCTTCAAGAACAGAACAATCAGGGGTAAATGCAGATCATCATGCAATTTTACAGATAAATTCTGTTTAAAGGAAGTATTTTGTATCAACCTAAACTCGGTAAAGAGCAGCAATTATTATCTTCCTGAAAGAGCAAAGTTGTTCTGTTTTAATTTTTTCAAACTTTCTGTTTTATATTTTTGGTTTCCAAATGAAAAGAATGTGTGTGTGTTGGTGTCGAGGTGTCCACACACTCTATGACAATGTGAGATGAAAGAGCTATAAATACAAATGCAGAGGTGGCTCCTTGGTTACAAGTGGAAAGAGTCAGATGCAAGAGTGCAGATATAATTAAAGTTCTTGTGTGAGAGAGGTGAAGAGCAGGAGACAGCTGTAAGGGGATTCAACAGAACACACACACACACACACAAGCTGTATGGTGTGAAGTCTCAGAACAGGATGAAATATGTCTCATATGGGTTTCCAGGTATTTCCCTCCAGAGCAACACTTCTGTTTTGACAGCAGACAAACACAGACACAAAAGGAAGTAACATGCCACACAGACAAATGGAGAGACAGAATGTGGGCAAGATAAAAAAAACCGAACGACACAGAAAGAAAGAACAGATATACAGTGCGTATGTGCGGTGAGACAGACAGATGGATAAGGCCTCAGACTGAGTGGGCCAGACTCCAGGGAGAGGTAGCACAGGATAGACATGGTCACTATCCCTTCAGGAGTAGCTGTGAGCTTTTTTAGAATCTGGCTAACACTTAAAATGGCTGCCACTAGGGCATGTTCCCATGGAAACACAGACAGCGCTGAGCCTGGCAAGCATCTTTACAAATGAACTAGACAGAAACCTTCCTATGCAACCTTGAAGACAGGAACAAAAGGTATGATGTGCAGAGGAGATGGGCGGGTCGACACAAAAGGCTGTGTGAGCAGACAAATCAAAGAGTTTCTTTTCAAACTGAAATTTCCACCATTTGAAAATTGGGATACCTTTTCTGCTGGTGTGACTCACTGTTTGATACTGAACTTGTTGTTGAGCACTGGATGGAATTGTTTGCGTTTTGTTCACAGCCATTTGCTCAACGTGGACATGATGCATTTTTGAAACAAACTCTTCAATTTGTCAATTTTCTCACCTGCAAATCCTCTTGGTTCATCCTGTATTGGTCCTTCAGAACCGAGGTCCTCACACCCTCCTCCCGCCTAACCCCCTTGTCTCTCTTTACATCGGGGCTCCAGAAGTTGACACTGTTCAAGCTGGGGCCTGTCCTTCCATCCCTCCCTCCATCTAGTTCTCTCCTCAGGTTGTCATTCTCCCTCTGCAGCTCCCTCAGCTGAGACTGGAGATCAAATGTGGAACCCTCACCCCGTCCAGCAGAGTCCAGTGTCTGTGGATGTCTGCCAGACTGGTGCCGCAGACTGGAAGTCCTTGCAGAAAGCAAGGTTTGGTCTCCATAGGGGTCTGATGGGTGATGCAGCCCAGAGGAGGTGATGTTTGGGCTGCTACCCATAGCTGTTGTCCGGCCAGTGTAGGAGGAGCGGCTGGTGCTCCTTCCCAGCGTCATAGTGCCTTTGGGGTAGCCGCCAGAGGGTTCCAAGGAATCCCGCTCACTGGGGTACATGGTGCCTGAAGTGGCATAGGCGGCGCTCAAAGACTGGATATTCTCCATAGACATAGTTTTACCCCCAGGTGCTGTCGCTGAACCACGAGTTGCTCCTTTGTCTGCTGCTGTGGCAGGTTTGCTCTTCGAACTTGGCCTCGACACAGGCCCTTGACCTCCTGTCAATTTAGGCGCAGGTGCAGGCGCCCCCCCTGAAACAGAGCCTGGCTCTAGCCCTGAGCGGGAGCCTGGCGCTGAGCTTGCAGCCTGTTTGCCTTTCCCCTGTTTAGGGGACCGTGAAAAGCGTGAATGAGATGTGCTGCCATCAGTTTGCCCACTACTCTTTGGGCCAGCAGACAGCTTGCCAGGCGACGGCTTGGCTCTAATATTTAAAGGCATTTTTTTTATATGGCAAAAGTGGACTTCTCAAAGGAAACTGTTAAAGTTGGGAATATTTTCATGTCCCTTTATGGAACAAGGATGAATAACAAGGTTTTGAATAAAGGCCACCTCTCAGCCTCTCAGTTTTCAGAGGTCTTGTGGTTTCAGCTACAGTGCAGGACATCGTGGATTCTAGACAGGTAAAAAGTAAGACAAAAATTGAGAGAAAGACAAATCATAGTACATTTCTCAATATTGAGTTCATATTTTTTTTTAAAACGCCTCATACAGTCTGCATAACTGTAGATCACATCTTATAAAATTCACCAAATGTCTGCATTTATAGTCCATTTACATTCAAAACCTAACATAACACTACATTCTTGCACATGTATATCTAAAAGGAAGTTTAAAAATGCATTAAAAACCGCATTAGATTCTAATTTGGGCACACAACACTGCGTGCCTCTTCATTCCTTGATTGATCTCTATGATACTTATACAGGGTTGGGGGGGGGCAGCTGAGGCTGATTGTGTAATTTTATTGGGACGATGTGGCTGTTTCACTGTTCTCTCCACGTCACAGAGTGGTTTGCAGCCCATCCCAGGATGCCCTCCATGCTTCAACCCCACAGAGGAATTATTTTCGTCATAAAGGTGGAAAGTTTATGACCACCAGTCACATGATCAGAATGATCAGATGTCCCTCTTGGACACAATGAATGCCACATGTCTGAATATATCTGCAGAAAACCGCCAGGGATGGATCTGGCTGCAAAAAGATTCTCTCCCAGATGTATTACAAGAGAGGACATAAAGGTGTGACTTGGATGAGAATTTATGGCTAAATGCAGAATACAGGGTTTGAATACCACTGTGGAATTATTATATCTGTTGCTATGCTACACATAAATAGAGAGTGAATATGCATAGTTCTGTATTGCATTATTGGAATTGCTTTAGTTTTATTTTGTGCACTTGGAATTACTCTATGTAGAAAAGGCAAAAATAAAGCAAACTGAAGCTTATTGCAGCATTTCTGATTCATTTCTATGACACATCCTGTAAGGCAGCACCACCCATGCAATAAAGAGGTGCCATTCTTTTTGTGTAAAAAAAATAACACAAGCAGCATCAAGACATGGTTGATAGGACTGGTAATTGTATTATGCTTCTACTGACAATATAAGAGGTTACATACTGAAACCAAAACAATTTTTTTATTACTTTGCTTTGAGCAATATAAACATGTTTTCTCCAAAACCAATTTTTAGTTAACAAATTTTCAAAAACTTCTCAAACATTAAATGTTGTCTAAACACTTAAGCTGTACAAGAACTTTGCCTAAATTCAAAACATCAATCTAAAATTGGTACAATTATCATTTAATTCAGGAACTGTATGATCAATAATAAGAATAAGTAACCAAGGCAACAAATCTGACAACACCAACTCTAGCCCCACATGATTCATGGGTAATGACTAAATAACTAAATAACTGACTTTACAGACTTTAAATAGTGAATACCATAATAAGTTGCAAAAAAGTTAAAATATGGGTTTACAGGAGCAGGGTTAGGAGCCATTGGACATTTTCATTTATCATTTCTCTCTCTTCCTTATTTGGAGTTCTGAGAATGATGCAAGGACAGGAAAACAATGTCTCTAACCACCAGGCATCTTAGTGGTCCAGCATTGGCTACTCTTTGGCCCTTTCTGATTATGTCATTATGGTCAGAATACCTTGCACAGCCACAGTTAGTGGTAAAGCCAAAGTAGATGGTAAAAGAAAAAAGAGAGAGGCACCAGCTGGACCATTTCAGCACCATGGACAGCACTACATCTACTCCTCATGAAGCACATGGATTCTAATGCCTGCTCAGGTCTGAGGGAAACAGTGTAATTGGCTACACCCAGGGCAGAATGAAGAGGGAATTGGAAGACCAGTCTTTACTATCTACCATCCCTCTGGGGCACTGGCAAAGTCATCATCAGAGACTTTATCAGGCTGTAGACACATCAGTACCTTAGGCTTCAACTAAAAATAGAGGACAAAAATAGGCTGTTGGAATTTAGGCTAAATCATACTTGGAAGGTACAGCATGTTAATACTGTGCACATATGAGCACAAAAACAGCATATATTATATTATATTTCTATGTCATACTAAATACTATAGAGTCATTTGTTGTCTCTGGGGTGTAAAAAGCCATACATTAATACAAGCAGGTAAAAATATCCTCAGGGAATCAAAGTAAGCACAACCTAGTCTGTGATGGACCAGATATTGGAGACTGTCTGCAAAGCAGAGGCAAATCCAAATCATAATCCCTCCTCTAATCCAAGAGGATTGGGTGCTGGGAGTCACTGCACAGGATTCAACTGAGAGATTGGTTAAGTCTGCTTGTCAGTCATAACATAGCTGTCAATCCCTTATCCATCATTGTTTGAGACAATGAATTCATCCTAATGTTCCCAGCAATGGAACCATCAATTCCGTGCCTAATTTTGGTACATCAGATGTAAAAATGTATATATAAAGTGAAGGTGGTAATCAATGACGTTGATTAAAATGAAACAACAAAGATAACTGTGTCTAAACCCTTAAAACAAACATGTTAGCTTGCTACTACTAAAGGTCTGTCTATCATTTGCATTAAGATGGAGAAATCATAAGTCAGTGTGGCTGGTCAGATTCGATGGCGCCAAGTTCACACAGCTGTGTACCCCTCCCATGGCAAACCACACTGACAGAAAGAAAGAAACTGACACACAAAGAACGGGCTGATGAAAAATGCAAAAACAAAATGTCACAAGTAGGAAACGCCTCACTTCACCGGTCCGCGAGCCTCTGCACTTACTTCTGAGTTGGCAGCCAGCTGTTGCCGCGAAGAGAAAAGTCGAGTCACCACCCAAACTGCAGTAGCATGAGTCGTTAATGTGCATGGTAATAAATTGTCCATAGGACCCCCTCTAGTGAAGCTCAACATGCTGCCACCCTAACTATCAGGCTCACTATAGTTAATGAGTGGCACGAGTAAAACGGTCGTTGTGCATGTGACTATACGCAGCCTGGACACAGACGCCCGAATAACTCTACTACGACCACGGCATGAAGGATTAGTTTCTTGCTCATATGCACACGGCTACATGAGTTCGAGCTAGTACCTTACATAATAATTAATCTGCCGCACAAACTGAGAGCGCACAGTTTCATTTGTTCAAATAATGTGGTCAAATGATGGCACGGAGTCCAGGTGTGCACTCAGCGTGTGCTCTGTAGCTTACCGGACAGGCACCTCTCCATCACCGTGAGGTATCAGCCGTACCCTGTCCGACCTCGGCGCAGGCTCCATGATCTCATCGGCTCAGCTCTCTCATGACCTGTCCTGCCATCGGGTCCGCGTGGGCGCGCTCTCCCAAGCTGGCGCGTGCGCGACCTACACGGCGTGGTAGGGCAGCACAAACAGCAATGATTGGAGGGTTGCTATTCTTTTTTTTTCCCCACACACCTACATGAGCGTTAGTTGGGCATGCTGTTTGCATGGCCTTAGCAACACTAACCTAAATTTAAAAAAAACCTCTTGCGTGTAAATGCAAGCGAATAAATCAAATGCAATTATATTCCACTCATTTCCCAACATACCAGACAGCAATATCCTGACGGCCATAAGTAAGTGAGTTTGTTTACTATAGGCTAACTGTAGAGACTTGAGAACTAATCTAAAATAACACCTGGTGATTGGATAAAGCCACAACTAGTTTTGAATAAGCTGTGACCCTGGGCTAACTGGCAGTCCAGCAGTCTTTGGAAACTTTACAATGGAACTGCAGCTGTTTAGTATAGTGTTCATCCACTCAATATAGCTCACCCAGAAAATGTGTAAGAATAATTATTTTTGGTCAGAGGTTTCACTCTCAGAAAATAGGTGCTGTTTGTCAGTCGCAGTCCTAGATCATGAGACAAAAAATGAAAGTGGGATCCCAGTCTACAAGCTAAAATAGATGTGCAAGCAGCTGCACTCTCACACAGCAGGTCTTGTATGTATGACTTTTTTTTCTATTTATTTTTTTCACTTTTAGTATCTTTATATGCACCTGTCACTTAACATTGAATCTCCCCTCCCCCTCCTACAGCTTTCTATCTTTCTGATGTTAATGTCAAACTGGTGTAATGACACAATAGCCCTGTCCCAAGTTTTCCCCTCAAACTTCTTCAGAATTCATGGATGACAATTCTTTCAAATTGGATGCAGCTGATTAAATCTGTTAACTGTAACCTTTAACAAATAATCATTAGTTTCATTTCCTCCCAGCATCTAACCAAACGGAAGTGAAACTGTGTGTGTGTGTGTGTGTGTGTGTGGGTGGGTATGTGTGTGGGTGGGGTGGGTGGGTGGGTGGGTTGGGGTATACACAGGTACACTATAGTATGTTTTTCTAATAACAATACTAGAAATGAAGCTACTGGTGTGAAATCAAGTTAGGTTTATTTGTATAGTCCAATATCAATGTCTCAGTGTCTATGTACAATGTCTTAACTAAACTTAAAGTTAACAATGTATTAACATTGCAGCCCATATACCCAACCCAACTTCTCTAAAGACGTTAACATTAACTCACTAAAAATAAGAAAAGAGAATTAAAACTGCCAACCTTCAGGGTCAGTAATATAAAGAATTCATGAAAATGTCAAATTATAAAAAAAGCAAAATAAGATTCAAAACATCTTACTCAGCAACTACATTATCAGATAAAACAACAGAACACACACTTGAAAAAAGAGAAGTAAAATATGTAAGAGCACACTATAAAATTAAAAAATATACAGCCACGTGTTAAAAAAAATCAAGTGTCATGTGACATAAACAATCAGAGGACAGTTTTCTCAAAATTAGCTAATGGGAAGATGAGAGATTTTTTCTCCACCAAGTTGCTCTGTATCAACAGTTAACATGTAGTCATACAAAACTTTCACTTATGTTGTTGTCATAAAATTTGAGGTTATCTGACGATAATGCCATTCTCAGTTTATTCCAGAAAAGCGGTTGAGCCCTTGGGTTTCTCGGCCAGGACAACACAGACTTTTTGCACAACCTCTTCCTCAGCTGAAGGTACTTCAGTTTGGGAAACATCTCATCCAACAGAACCAGCACAGCTGCATCCACCTTGTTTGGATAAAAATCAGGGATAATTTTGTGTTGTGAAAACATGGCAACAATTCAGAGTGTGTGAGACTGACATCCAGAAAATGCACATGAAAGTGAAAAGTCAATTTTACTGACCTTCTCATCCAAAAGCCGCTGCTGAACCATGAAGAAAGCCTGGCGGATCACACCATTCACTGTCTCACCGCCATTAGAACCACTGGACAGCACAAACACTGTCTTCACACTGTTGTAGACAGCACTGTGCAGATTCTCAATACATGAAAGTCCAGGAATCCAGTCCCTCTCTTCCAAACAGAGACAAAATCTCCTGTGATCTGAGTTCTCCAGATTCACAATTAACTCATTGTAGACCCAGTCCCTCACAGCCTTGTTCCTGGTGTCAAACACTACAAAGGCATCATAGTGATGCTCTGAATCAGTACCAGCCAGCTGGGAATAGCCTTTATGTCCTGCCCAAAGCACCTGTAAGCAATACCACATATCCCAGCCATAGAGATGCTTCAGTAGGGGCAGAACAGTGAATGTCAAAGCCAAGAAGGAACAGACGAGGAAGGCTAAGCTACCATATATATCCTGGCAGGAACGCTGGTCAATAGACAGTACACTATGGCCTTGTTGGGACTCTGGGTAATCACAGTGTACATGTGTGGTAAGATAAGGAATATGTACTGGAGTAGAACTCAAGAAGTCTGCAAACCAGGATGTATCACAATCACATTTAAAGGGGTTGGCATGCAGGGTGAGTTCTTGGAGAACACCATTTTTAAAAGGGGCAGGGAGATACTGATGCTTCAACTCTTTGATCTGATTGTGGCTGAGATACAGATATTGCAAGGATTTTGCCTTTCTGAAGAAATCCGCTGGAACAAAACTAAGGCGATTGTGACTGAGGTCCAAGAGAGAAAAATTAGCTCCAAATTCTATAAATTTATAAGGCAAATAAGAGAGATAATTTTGACTTAGGTCTAGGTGACGTAAATTGCTGAGTGCTGAGATGTTCTTCCATGGGAAATAGTTCAGCAAATTGTTGCTGATGCTGAGGGCCTGAATGCTACGTGGGAGGTTACACAATACTTCTGGTGAGACTGACTTTAGACCATTGTTAGAGATGTCCAGGTAGATGAGGTTTGTCAGGTTTTGGAAAAAATGAGTGTACTTGTTGTTATCAGATTCCCACATAATATCTAGGTGATTTCCATTGAAGTAGAGGTACTTCACTGAGCTGCTGATCAGCCTTTGATCTATTCTCATCCCAATGTCATTGTTTGCAAGATTTAGGACTTCTAAATTGGTCAGATTTTGGAGGAACTCCAAACGATGGCCCATGCCCCTCATTTTGAAGTGAAACTCATTGTTACTAACATCCAATACCTTTAGAGTAGTTTTAAGCTCACTGAAAGCAGCATTATAATAAAGATCAAGCCTATTGTATGACAAATTAAGCAAAACTAAATTTTTCAATCCGTCAAACTGCCCACTCTTCAATGCTTGGCTCATGTAATTGAAGGAAAGGTCTAAACAAACAGCATTTTCCATGCCTACAAACACATTTTTGTTAAGAGACAAAATGTCATTTTGAGATAGGTCAAATGTTAATTTATGCCGGCAGAAATGATTTCTGAAGTCCCATAGTGATGGAAATTGTGATGCATTGTGCTCCACCAATTCCATCACATTCAACTTGTTTGATTCCCTGATCTCATTTACAGATGTGACTTCTCGATCTCTTACAATTGGAGGTTGGTCAGGGAAATGTTGTGTATACAAGTTCTCGTTGTGACAGCTTGTCTGTGCCATATTCTCAGGTGTTGAATTACAGCAGGATGGAAGGAAGTTAAGCATGTTTTGGGAAAGGTCAATATAGATGAGAGACGGTAGCTGTTTCAGATCTGTCAAGTTACAAGTATTAATGAAGTTCATTCTCAGTTCTAGTTTCATTAGATTTTTAAGTTTGGATAGAACACTATGGCTCTGAATTGAAAGCTTGTGGAAAAAGTTACCACTCAGAAGGAGGTATTGTAGACCAGATATATTGCCAATATGTGGGGAGAGGATCAGGTCCTTAAATGTCCTCAGGGGTTCATAGTTATAGATAAGGCTAATCCAAGTAAGGCCCCTCAGCTCTGAGAAGAAGGTGCCATTACGTATAGCATATGCCAGGAGGTTGTCAGAGAGGTCTAGTCTCTTTAAATTCTTCAAAGGTTTGAAAAGACCCTCTGGAAATGTTTTCAGAGAATTGCCCCTCAAGCTTAGATAGATGATGGAGCTGTTCTTAGCATAGAACGAGTTTGGATATAGGTTTAGAGGGAGATTTTGTGGGCAAGGAAAACAGGGCCTCGCTGCATGGTCACAACGCTGGCAGTTCCACTCCAAATTCAAACTCTTAAGCATAGTCAGGTTGGAAAATGCCCCGTCTAAGACCTCTGTGATTGTATTCTCTTTTAAATCCAGACTCTCCAGTGAGGGTGGCAGTCCTCTGGGGACAGATGTCAAATTATTAAACCCTAACGTAAGGTTTTTGAGTTTATCGAGCTCAGAGAAAACCCTCTCGCTGATGTAAAAGGACTGGTTGCAAGGGTTTGCATAAAAGCAGTTCATAGAGAGGAAGAGCTCTTCAAGATTTGGAGTTCTTGAAAGGTGGGTGATGTGGAAGATGTGATTATTCTGTAGATCGAGAAACCTCAGGGTGTCAGGTAACCAGGGTATAGAGGTGAGGCTATTTCCTGACAGATGAAGAAATTTAAGATCCAGTAGGTTCTTGAAGGCATAATGGTGAATGTACATTTTGCATGAGCGGTCTTCTAAGGCTCGCCTTGGCTGACAATTCCCCATTATTTTCAGAGTGTGAAGATTTGGGACACCTGCGAAAGCATGCTTCCCCACTTGCTGTATCTTCGTCCGACTTAAATTGAGTGACACTACAGTGGTAGACTGGATGAAGGGGACATGCCTGAGTGGTCTGTCAGAGCAATCCACTGTGGTAGCATTCACATCAGTGTCACATGGTAAGAAGATGATATTTATGGTCCTCACTAATGGAAGAAGCTGACCAAGGATGAGGATATTTTTTAACAGAGCCTGAGGAAAAACAAGAAACCAAATTTATCTTAGTTGTTTGCTGATGGCTCTGAAAATGGAATCTGTACAAGTGGTTTCAATTTTCAGTTGAATGATGAAGTTTAAGAAAAACAATGTTGCCAAAGCATCAAAATACAATTTCCAAAATACAAAATAACTAACACCACAAAGACCATATATATATATATACAATTATATATTTACAATATATGTGTGTGCATCAAGGTCATTCACTGTCCCTCAGGTTGCAGCATGTTGATATATATCGGGCAGCAAGATATGCCATCTCATTTTCCTACGATTATTGTTAATTTTGAGATGTCATTTAGCTCATTTGAAATTACATAACTGAAATGTTTGAAGTATTTGTACCTCATTTTATTGAATGATTTACGTTTTAGGAGAGAAAGAACCTGTTAATCATTAATCATGTTCCATTCCTTGATTTCATTTGACCAAATAACCAATATAATATCACGTTATACGGTTCATTCAATAAATATCACACTATGCATTCTAGAGTTAAAGTGGCTTCAAACAACTGCAAATGAAATCACGTTGGCTTTTTCAAGCCACTCCAATCAGCCATTTCTGTCTCTATGATGTACAATAGTGAGTAAATGCCGATTTTATTTCTGATGTTACAATACAATATCATCTCACTTACCATTGCAGGTAGCGCATGTACAAAATTCAAATCAGGAGGCAGATGAAGCAATCTTTAATCCAGGTGCAGCCCGAATAGATTAAAAAGGGTATCTTAAAGTCTGTGCAGTGACAAGAAGCGGTCTGCATTTATGCAGAAGTGAAAGCATGTGGTAGTATATGCCACAACCTGATGCAAATTGTCTGACGCAAATGAAATTCATGAGGGACATTTGATGCAGACATCACCTCAAGTGATTTAAAAGAACAAATGACTTTACAAACTGTATTGTCCTTCATGACAATCACTTCAGAATATATGAAGGTTCAAATGTCATGAATGCTTTTGTTCTCTGACAGTACAGACAGACCAAAGAACTTGACAGAGAGGAGAGTTTTTTTGGGGGGTTTGGGGTTTTTTCCCCATTGGTGGACAGCGTTGGATGACTTCCTTAGTTTACTACATTTACTAAATAAAAGTGTAAGGAAATAATTTACCACTTCAAAAAATCCTTTTTAACGTGAACATACGGCTATGATTCATCCCACACTGGTATTATTTTCACAATCACTTTATTAAGTGCACTAAATCATGAAATCCATGAAATCAAGAAAGAGAAAGTGATTTTTTAAAACCAAACAGTAATAGTTAGCAGAGAAAAAAAAAAGATTAATAAATTGGTTTGCTTTGTTAATATAACCTCAAACACAATGAACACACTGAAAAGCCCTTCTGTGTTTATGTATAGATTGCAAAAAAAATGAACAGTATCAATAAAAATGCAGACACAAAACTGCTTGTATTCAAGTATTGTGTTAAAATTATTATTTCCCCATTCACTTATTGGAAGTAATTGTGGCAATCACTATAGCCACACAGATTACAAGTGAAGTAACAGTTACACAGTGTGTTCTGGTTGGACAGCACGTTCAATGCTTTGGCTTTGGATTGGACCTCACACTGTCTTCGAAACAGAAGCATATAAAATCCTTTACACACATCAGTGTTGTCCTTTCTTTTCCTGGCACCAACAGAAGCCTTAGTACACTACCATGTATTTGTCTGATATTTACCATCACTGACTCAAGTGTTGAATTATCCACAGAGCAATGTTCATAAAGCCATCAGACTCAGCATCCACTTTGGCGAGAGAGTGGTTGTTCCCTGGGTACCACAGCAACCTAAACAACACACGTCAGAGCATTAGCGAATGAACAATAAAATCCCTGTCATGCAGTGCGTATCTGACATAACCAATGAAACATGGTACTCAGACAAGCTGCTTACCGGACTGGGACCTGCTTTGCTTTCAGTGCTCTGTAATATTCAATTCCTTGCTTGTTAGGTACACGCTTGTCATCTTCCCCTAAGGTAAGCAGTACTGGTGTCTGAACCTAAATGAGAAATCACCTTAGGTATATTGGGTGACAACACCAATAAAATAACATGTACGCAGTCAAGACACAAACACAGAAATTCTCGTACCTGTGTTACGTGTTTAATGGGGGACTTGTTCAACATCTGTTCCCAAACAGCAGGGTCAGGTAGACAGTCTGTGCTGTAGTTATAGCCAGCCTCAACCATGCACCTGCAAAAACCAGAGTTAAACATCAACGGGAAGAAATAAAAAAAAATCTGTGAACGGCTTTGAGGTCTTTTGTTCCTGCAGTGTTTGTGTGCATTATTGAACACTTCCTTCCCTGACAGTGAGGCAGACTCATGCCCTTTATCCCACTCACTTGCTTACAGCTGCCAGAAGGGAATGTCAGGGGTGTCAGTGATAAAACAGCACAGATGTGTAGTTGTGCACGACTGACAGTCACAAAATTAGTAAACAAAAGTATGGGAATGTGCATATCAAAACATACCAGTCTGGGATGTCAGTGCTGCCAATCATGGAGGCCAAATTGATGACAGGGTTGCGAGCCACACAGGCCTTGTAGAAACCTGGATACTGGCCAATCAGATGACAGGCCAGGAAACCACCATGGGAGCCCCCAGAAACTGCCACCCTCTGCAGGTCGAACTCGTCACCTTTCAGAACACTTTCAACAGCAAACTGGGAAGAAAAGATGGGCAAACACTAAGAGAACATTTGAAGGACACATGGAGAATAGCAAATCATTAGTTGGGGATTATGTATACTGTTGAGACATGATTTAAACAGAAACTATAGCAACCAACATAAAATAATTATGGAAATCAACTGACTCAACAGTATTAACAAAGATATCACCATGAATCAACAATTAAAGTCATTTTTACTAGTAGCAGCAAAAGATACTTATCAATTTCACAACTCGGAAAAGTTTATAACCACTGTTTTAAAGAGCATCTGTGGCTCTTTTTTTTTTTTTTTTTTAATCTTACTTGAACATCTTTGACATCCTGGTTGCCAACATTACCAGGTAATGAGAGGATACTGTCCTGGCCATATCCAAGAGAGCCACGATAGTTCACTGAAAAAAAAACATTGGAAAACAAAAAACATATTCTCATCTATGTATTAAGGCAGGGTATTGTGACATATTCCTGTATATGTAAACACACATTTTTTTTATTTTTTTTTTTTAAAAAAAAGGTACAATACAATATCCTCTGAAATGAAAACCAAGAACTTCCTTAGCTGCCACACAGGCAGTGTATTCCCGGCCTAAGTTACCAACTGGCCATCAGCTGGAACAGTTTTCCAATGAAAGTAATATCGCTCTGGTATATGTAACATGTTAAATGGTACATTTACCAAATGGTAAATGTGTTGGCAACACAAAATTATAATTGGTTTTGCCTATGAGCATTGAGCAGCATGTTCCTGGAGTATATGAAAGGTCTTTAAATGTTCAGAAGATAGGAATACGCAAAGTCTCTTAAATGCTTTTTCTAGTCTGAAACCCTATCAAAGCAACCAATTTATACATCAATTTATCTTCCATCTGCAGGAGACAGATTGGGAGTCTTGCTCATCATCTAATATATATTGTATCAATGGACCTCTGAGCAGGTGTGACACATGAACTTACCCAGTAATATAGCAAAGCCCATCCTGCACAGCACAGAGGACGACAGAAGCCACTCAGCTACAATCACTGAGTGGGGACCCCCTTATTAAAAAAAGAAAAAAAGAAAAAAAGAAAAGTGGTTATGAATAATACAGATTGACAGTTTGCATTAAAAGTAATCTGTGTCTTTGTTACCTTAGTGCTGTGGGGCAAAAATGTCAGACACTAATCTGCATGTAGAATTAAAATACATGAAACATATTACAGGACTGTGAGCTGTGTTACAAAAGACCATCCTTGGTTTTGAGAATATGATTAAACATTTTGCCACTAAGGGCACTATCGTCATAGCAACCACTGTTGGCAATGCCAATCTTATGTGTAGCAGTAGCTCTTGTCTGAACAGAAACAAATCTCAACACTGAGTCTATCCTAAAAATAAACTCAACGTGGATTAATAGCACGTTTCTTATTTCAGGATGTAAGCATAATGTTCAAATAATGGTTCAAAACAGAACATTTATAATATTAATGTTATCTTTTTGGGATACTATATGAAGTTAATATTGTACACTAATGTACAGTATTAACAATTATGTAATATTATCTAACTCTTCATTTTGTTTGCTCTAGAAACAAGTAATAGCTACAGAACCATAATGAGTGTAACCAACCATGAGGAGTGACAATCAGAGGCAGCTTCACTCCTTCCTTCACCTCCTTTGGTTTGATCAACAAAGCTTCAAAATCAAGGCCAGCTAGAAAATAGAAAAATTAGTTAGTCTGATTAAGATTACATATACTGTTCTACTTGTGTCCCATAAACAAATTTGTTGATGAATCTGCAAAACCCAGTGATTATTAAATTTAGCCTGTTTATTCTTTAAAAAGGTGACTGGCTAATAACTTTACTTAACGCCTCAAATATTAATTATATACAGTACTTCCCTACCTGTTTATTAGGCAAACCTCTCACAATTATAGTTTTTGTGGATTCTGTCAGAAAGGTCTTGACTCAACTCTGATTATTTTTAGGCTATAGATAGTGGGGGCAGCAAGACTGCAATGCATGAAGATGTATTTTTCACATATTCTGTGCCTGTCATATATATGAAACAAAAGGGAAAGTGGACAAAACTAACTGCATCCCTTCAAAACATCTGAGGAAAACAGGGAAAAAAGGACTGTATTTTAGGTTGTTCTGCTAGGACTCCTGTCTACATACCAGGAAAATAAAGAATTAGCATTCTTACGGTATTGACTGTTGTCTTGCTCTGGGGGAGGGGTGAAAGTCAAGATCTGCCAATGAATATCTGGTAACACCTGAGAGTCTTCCAAAGTAACCCACACCACTTCTTCCTGAGAATCCCGGGCCGGAAGGAAACCGACCCTCTGGACATAGAAATTACATTGCAATGAGTGACATAGTAGATTCTCCATCTCATGAAGTTTTATTTTTTGTGTAGTAACCCCATCCCAAAAATTGCATTGATCTAACAGCATACTTAATATATACTATACGTCAAAATATGAATACTCAAATAAAGCCCATTCTTAATGAAAACACTGATCCTACCAGAGTTGAGGGGCAGTTAGGTGAGGAGAAGCTGACCACCATCAGATCTCTTTCTATGTTCAGCAGACACCAGTTACCAACTTCAGACTCTGCAGACAAACAGAGAACATCATTAGACACAGGTTGAAATTATCATGTTCAAGCAGTCCCAGAACACTGCTATCTATGGTAGGCAAATCAGGTATTAAAGACTGTCAACACCAAACATCAGTAAACAACACTGTCTAGACCTGAGCGTGAATAACGCCTAGTGACTCACTTGAAGTCAGAGAGGTGACGCTCCCTGTGCTTATATCCACCATCAACAGATCCTACAAGAGAAACCATGACAACTTTTTTCAGGTAAAAAGTGATTTCAACATTCTCAGTCAAAACACCTTAAGTACAAAATGTATATATATCAGGAAAATAGCAAGCAATTCTGGTCACAATAACAAGCCATTTCCCAGGAGTTGACTGTACCTTGCGGCTGCGCTGAGGACAAGCTACAATAATACGCTGACTATCAGCTGACCAGCACTGAGGGGACAACTGAGAGCTGTAGATACCAGTGAAGCCATCTGTAAAGCCACACATATACACATAGACATAATAAGGTTATAATATACCACACAGTGAAAAAAATGGGCCATGTGTCTACCAAGTATTCCTTACCCTCTCTAGGTCGCTGCACCACATCCACCACCACTGAGGTTTTCTTAGTATACCAGTCATACTAGAATTAAAGCATGCAAGCACATAGATGTATAAGTATTCAAATGTATTTCTGCTTCAACAAATGTACATAATTTACTGTGTATAAGAGAATAGAAAAGTACAAGATGATGCATTGTGTAAAGAAACATCCATTCTAACTAATTATTTTCTTTGAGGACAGTAGACTACACTTAGTATAGAAGATAAAGAGGCTTTATTCTGTTTTACCATACAGAGCCTGCTGCACTGCATGTGTGGCCCATAGACAGAACATTCCAAGTACACAATTCGACACTGGTCTGGACTCAGCCTGGGGGAGCACACTGCACTGGTGCCTGATGACAGCTGCTCTGAGGGACACAACAAACAAATACACATGAATATGTGCAATCTTGTGTAGCTGTACAAACTGGTTGATGATGATTCTGTTCGAGTTTCAGGCATGTGCATCATGCCTCTGTGCAGGACAGACATTGATCATCATACCTTAATTTACCTGGATCGTGTTTATGAAATATGTATTACAGACCTAAATGATAGAAGGAACAAGCATTCACTTACCACATTTCCCACCAGTAAGATCCACATAGAACAAAGATGACCTGGCAGAGAAAGGGAAACGTGAATGAATTGCAGTATTAGCGTTTGAGTCTTACTGAAGAAAGTTCTGACAATCAAGCATTAATTCCAACTTTTCTCTGGTCAGTATAAACAGTAATCACCTCCTGTTAGGGCAGTACTTGAGACCAAGTCTGAAAGGCTCATGCCACCAGCCCACAAACACCACACCTGTGTCACCTGGAGCCCAAAATGCCTGTAGAGATAGAGACAGAATGACAGTAAGACCAAGAGTGGGCAAGAGCAAAAGAGTATTAGAACATGACATATTGGCAAATATTAAAACCAAACTACTCATCATTGCACAAACTGTTTTACTAACCTGTCCAGGTGAGATATTTTCGGGCACTCCTTCCAGCACAGAGACATTGTCACCCTCGATGTCCAAAACACAAAGCACTGGGGAGCTCTTACTAACCAGTGCCTCTCCCCAGTCCTCAGAGAAGACAAACTGCTCCCCCTGCAGGAATTAAAAAAGCAAAAGCACTACAAGTTAAGCAAGAGAGGAATTAAATCTAAGAATGTTGAATTAAAGCTTTGAATAGTGAAGATGTTTTGTATTTCATAGTAGTAATTTCAGTCACTTTTACAGCCTCCTTTTTCTCCACTCTAATGTTCTCCTCCTCATCTCCAATAGAAGACAACTCTGGTGACACAGTCTACAAACCAAAAAGGAGACACAGAATAACAAATTATTACCTCTTCATTACACTAATCTTATCTATAGTACCAAGGCTATGACCTATCTTAAATAGTGAATCAACACAAAATCACATACAGGGCAGAAAACGTGGTGACTTATGGTCACATCCCAATGAGTGTTGTCAAGTTATTTTGCATTTGAAAAGTGATGGAAATACCTGGGATATATTCAAAATGAAACCACTTTGCAGTGTTGTTGAGACGAAGTGATAAGTTTCCATTCAATGGCATTCAACAACCTTTGACATACATTTGATCTGGTTTGGTGAGTGTGTATCAGCTGAAGTCATCAGTCCACCACCAAGGTAATTTTGCATCATACGGCCTGTATTCAAGGCTATCTTTTCAATTTAATTCTATATTCACAAAACCACAGAATAGCTAGCAACTTGCACCAACACTGCAACTAGACTATCAATGAAACAATAAAAAGAAAAAAAATGTTATGTTGTGGGCAGTATTGAACTCAACAGCATTGACATAAGGGAAAATCGACACGCTTTAAAGTCTCAACCTATAGAGAGCAGTGCAGCTGTGCCCTATGTGATTCAGTGTTGATTTAATCTCAAAGCTGACAGACCTGGAAGAAAGATTCTGCCTTCGGTTTCTTTCTCTCTGCCACATACAAGAGGTGTGTCTCAGAGTGGGACCAAACCAAGCAGCCAAACTGCTCTAAGGATGCAAAATACTGTGATTAAAATCTGCACGGCATAGGTAAAAGTCACATTTTTGAAGAAATTTGTTAACAAAAAATTATGATTTTAAGCGCGGATGACTCACCATCTTCATAGACTTTGCCATGCTTCTTTAAGGCTGTTAGATCGATGCTCTTCATCTTGATGTTTTTACTCCAGATCTGTAGGGTCACAAAGATGTCATGAGAACAGAGAGGTGAGAGATCTCAAGTTCAAAATGATAAGTCACATGAGGTTGTTAAACACGTGGAAAATGTAGCAGAGCAGAGATACTACAGGGGACAATAAAAAAGTAGAAAAGTAAAAAAGTGGAATAAAGACATTTAGCAGGTTGGGTGAGAGAATCAATGCTGAATGTGTTCCAGAATGACAGCCACACACCTCCAGAAACTGTTTGTCCTCTCCTTTGACTGTACACTCTCTGACTACAGCCTTCATTTCACCCGAAGGAGAATCCTTACTTAGCACCCTGACAGGAGAAACACATATATGACACACTGTTCAGTCTGCTCAGGATTACATCAAAGAGAATGACTCCAACTCCACTCCAGATGACATGACAAAATTTTTACATACTCCCCCTTGATCTCAGTGCAGTTTCCTGAAGCTCCAGAGTAGACCACCGACTTATCATCATGGAATACAATGTACTGGCGGCAAAATTTGACATTCTCATTTCTCTCCAAATCCCGCTGGCTCCATTCTGCAAAGTTAAGTAAATAAAATGCTATCATTTTCAATGAACATACACAGACCTGAATATCTTAGTATGGCACAAACACACACCTGTGTAGATGTTACTGTATTTGCCTCCATACTGAGAGGTGATGACAGGTCCCACATCTGCTCTGCTCAAAGAAGGAAAGAGGCTGAGTTCTCTGTAGAGCCTGGCAATTTCCTCGGGGTTGGTCATCACCTGACAACACGCAGCAGAGTAACTCAAACCACGTCTCTGTGATACAAACTGTCTCACAAAGAACAATGCCTTATTCATGTCCGAGCAACGAAGCTAGCCAGTAATACATAAGTTTGGATAGTTAACACAGTTTTCCACCAAAATCAGAAGTCAGTTGATAAACATTAGCCCAATTCGTTACGCAATTGTTGGGTGGCAAACAGAGTAAACAAGTGACCAAGCTAGTTTGTTGCTAGCAGTGTTTGGCGGATTTAATTGCACCAGGAACTTCCTGTGGCAGCTGACAGCAGACAACAGACCCAGAGTCCGTCTGCTAGCTTGACTTGAAAGCTTGCTAACGTTCAATTATTAAAAAAAAAAAAAAACAGTGACAGCGTTATTGACGAAAGCCATACACGTGTGCCTTTATAGCTAAGGTGTATTTTTGTAGCGTTTGTTATCTGCTCAAGTAGTCAGTTAAGTTTAATCTTACCTGTGACTCCATGATAGGAACGGTGTGTGTCGCTGGTCTGCGAATGCCAGCCCGTTGAAAGCACAATGGAATGGGTTGCTCCAGTACAAAGCTAGCCAAAAAGTAAATGTAAGACATTTTACAGCTTCCTCTTGCAACTTCAAAAATAAAATAAAATCCCTCTCGAACACTTCCTGAATGTATCAAAACACTGGAATTCAAGAATAAATTAGTGATGAACAAGATTAAATACATCGCTTACAGCAGCTGCCAGACAACCTGGAACGTTTTCTATCATTAAAAATAGTTTATTAATAGTAGAAATATATATCAATGCTTTTATTTTGTAGGTAAATCACCTCTGCTACACCCAAAAGGAAGAAGTAGACAAATAAATTAACTGATCTTTTAACGCCCTCTTGCGTTGTAAATAATAAACTGTAGACTAATTTGTATTGTGCTAGTGCATAGTTATTGGACTCAGAGAGTCCCTTCCCTAGAAGCACAGTGATATATGTTTTTTGACAAGATATATTTCTAAATAACTTTGTGTTAGTCGGTTTCTTGTGTTAATAAAAACCTCCGCACTGGTTCTGTCAGTCAGCTGGGGTAGGTGGGGTCACAAAGAGCCAAGATGGCTGACTTTGAGGAGCCGCTGCCAGATGAGGAGAAGGTTTGGAGACAATTTTATTCTTTACTCAGTGGTAATTTCTCATATTTGTGGAGAGCTATCCGTGTTGTATGTTCACATGAGTGAACGGTTAAGTTTTGGAAAGAGAATGCCAGTTTTTTGTCACGCATCGAAATGCTAAACTTGTGTTTTTAAGCTACGATTAGCTAACTAGCCAATGCTAGTTAAAGCTTATAGTTGGCTAGCGGCTAGATAAAACGCCGTTAGAGGACTTTAACCACAGGACACTTTGACTTAAAACTTTTTAGTAGTTGTAACCAAAATAATGGACATATATGTAGCGATGTACCTCCAAAAGTGGTGTTCCAATGTCTATACTAGTCTGCAGTAATTACAGAGTGGGTTACGTATTCATCTCATATAACGTTAGCTAACATTAGCGGCTAACGTTACTTTGCTTTGGATTTCTGGGTCAAACAGATTCAGTTGCAGCTCAAATACTTGTTAGCCTCACATGGCTTGTGATCGGGATATGTGTGCCTACAGTTTAGATGGAGTCTGATAGTGACACCCTCCGTAATACCAGTGGCAGCTGGAGGCAAGGCTCAAAGTATTATGAATGACAGACTTTGCGTAGTGATTTTGCTAGGAAAAGTGAATACAGGAACATGTCATTTTCCCTGTAGACACGTAGCAACGAGGCTGGTTCAAAGCTAGAAACAAGAGTGGTAATGTCAAGAGACATTTAAGATTTAAGGTCTATTGATAGTCAACGGGAAAATTCAGGGCAAGATGATGGCATAATATTATTGAGACATGATACATCGTCTAGACAAGCTGTTTCCAATTCAGTGTCCATTCTGTACTGAAGTGCACTGCTTACATTGTCTTGATGTTTATTCCTAGGTAGACATCTCCCTCTTTCCCTCTCCCTCCCTTAAATGACAAAAGCTGTAATGAAACTATATCAGTTATACTCTCTGTGCACTATTATTTAGTAAAACATGCTTTCTGCAATTAATGTAATTATTGACTGATTTTTCTTTGAAACCAAGACATTATTATTGCAAAATTAAAAGTGCATCTTAGTATCAGCTATGGCAATATGACAGTGTCAAAACTGGATGCCAAATTACTAACAAAGTACATTTTTTCAACTTTTTTGACTTGTTCAAGTATGTTAATGGATTGTTTTGCTTGATAAACAGTGAAAAACATATTAATTGTAGGTATTGGTATGTAATGTCACTCTTTCTGTTCATTGTATGGCAAGTCATATTTCCGACAATATCACGATTGCATAATTAATTGGTCACATTTAATTTGCTTCCATAGGTCCGCATAGCGGCCAACTTTGTGACTCATGCCCCCCCAGGAGAGTTCAATGAAGTCTTCAATGGTAAGGAGCAGTTGTGGCAAGATGCCTATGATATATGATATGCATTGAGTATGATGTAAGTTACTTAACCTCTGATACTATTGTTTTGTCTCTTAAGAGTGCTACACAAACAGTTTTTTTTGTCTTGCTAGATGTGCGGCTCCTTCTCAATAATGACAACCTCCTTAGGGAGGGGGCTTCACAGTAAGTAACATTCAATTATAAGTACCGTCTGAAATTCAAATACTCATAATTTAACACCAGGGCATCCATATTGAAGGATATTTTTGCAGTTTGAATTCTATTAGGCAGTGAGAAATGCATGCACAGTCAGTGTTCTCAAAATGGTCAGTGGAAAACATTTGTTGAAAGCTTTTGATGTCATGTTATGAATGTCTACCGTACTTTTATGCCCCTTCTGTTTGTCTAGCTCCTTTGCCCAGTACAATATGGATCAGTTTACTCCTGCCAAACTAGAGGGCTATGATGAACCGGTATGTTTCATCCATAAGTGTTTCATATTTATTTCAGAAGAGCAAGTGTCTGAGCCAGACTTTTTCAGTCTTTCCTCTCCCTTCTTTTTAGGTGCTGATCACAGAGCATGGAGACTTGGGTCAGGGACGTTTCCTGGACCCCCGCAACCGTTTGTCATTCCGCTTCGATCACCTAAGAAAAGAGGTGAGCGACGTGCAGCCGTATGACGGCGATACAGCCCTGAGAAGCTGGAGAGATGCCTGTGATACTGCCCTTAGTGCCTATGTCAAGGAGCACTACCCTACTGGAGTCTGCACGGTAGGGCACACACAATTTGTGGCAAAATAGCATTCTAATCAATATAGATTACATTTTACCCATAACAATAATGTGTGTGTTGCAGGTATATGGAAAGATGGTTGATAGTCAGCAAACTATCATAGCCTGCATTGAGGGACATCAGTTTCAGCCCAAAAACTTCTGGTATAGTGATCCTCCTGCAAACAGCTCTTTTTTTATACATATCTGGATATGTGTGTGTCTTAGAGGATATATTACTAATATTTATTATATAGCTCTATCACAAAGGACTTGTGTATATTTTTAAACAAGGTGAAAGTGAAATAATTGGTCTTTCAGTTTTATAAACATTCTTGATGCTGCTGTCTTATTGTAATATAGGACTTTTCTTCATTTCTGTAACACAGGAATGGTCGCTGTAGGTCAGAGTGGAAGCTTACCATTGGTCAGTCCACTGCTCAGGTGGTGGGAGTGTTGAAAATCCAGGTACATTCAGTTCAGTGTGCTCATCTGAATAAATTACAGCAAGGAAGAATATTCTTGAAAAAAACACCAACTTACTAGTGAAGTTATTCTCTGTCTCCAGGTGCACTATTATGAAGATGGGAACGTGCAGCTGGTTAGCCATAAGGAGGTAGAAGAATCAATACCAGTAACTGTAAGTAAAAATTTAATACACAGGCACAAACACACTCTCGCAGTGTTTCAGCATGGTTTGAACCTTACTTTTGTATGGACTCAAATAAGGATCAAAAAAATGTTGTGATTGTAAACTGATGTTCACAATTATTTCCGAAGTTTGTATTTGAAAATCAACCTTTGTAAACCTGTAAAGTAAATCTGCATGAGAAATGCAAGTTTGTGCATGTGTACAAAAGATTTGTATTTGTAAACAAAAAATGTGCATGTGTAGAAAAGACTTTGTTGCTTTGTATTTGCTAAAATGACTTGTATTTTGATTTGAGCATCACAAACAGTGGGAACTTTGAGTGCTGAACTTTACATGGAGTTTTCTGCTCTGTATCTGTACGCAGATGTTCACAAAAGTAATTCTTCCCTCAGTGTCTTTCTCTAACCTCACCAGTTATATCATTTGTTCTCAGAATTCACTTTTTATTTTACAAATACAAATAATTTCTACACAATACGCTTATTTCACAAATATTGATTTACAACTACAAACTTGATACATAGTATTAGACCGGCTGTGCTATTTCTGTTTGTAGGATAAAGGGTGATGATTGTATGTGTGTTTTTACAGAATGAAAGCCAGACAGCCAAGGAATTTGTTGACATTATTGAGAATGCTGAAAATGACTACCAGGTAAGATACCTTTCATTGACTACACAGTTTATGTACTTATGTTTATAATAACATGTTTTACTTTTATGGAAACATAAATAAAGAAACATTTTGACTTTTTAAGTAAATGCACAAATAGTATACTTGATACTTGTTTTCCTCTGCTTTTTTGCCCTCAGACTGCAATCAGTGAGAACTACCAGACCATGTCTGATACCACTTTTAAGGCCCTGCGTCGTCAGCTGCCCGTTACACGCACTAAGATCGACTGGAATAAGATCCTAAGTTACAAAATTGGCAAGGAGATGCAGAATGCCTAGTGGGTGGTCAGGGACGCACGCTCCACTTGTCCCACAACCCACCTATACATGCGCAAGGACTAACCAAAGCAAAACTATGTCAGTATGGGGCAAGGAAATAATTTAAAAAAAAAAACACAAACAAAAAAAGTATAACTGAAGATTTGCAGACTGTTAGGCACAGGTATCTGTCTGCTGTAAGGAAGTTGCAGTTATGGAGATAATTGATGGTTTGAAGGAACTGGTTACTTCTGGATGTGTGTTGTTAAAAGAGTTGTGTTGGGTCAGTGTGCAGGGCTGTGCTCAGGACTGCTACATTAAAGGAGCAAATCTTCCTTCGGCTGTCTGAGGTATCGCCGACCTCCCTAGATTCAGGTGTCAGAAATTGCAATATTTTTTCTTTGTCAAACTGATGCAGAACTGTGATCACGTCACAGTGGAGATCTCAGCACACCGGGACAAAAAAAAGGAACTGCACAAGGCAGCTGATGAGAGAAATTAAGCACATCATCACATATCAGGGTATGATTTTGGACAGGAAAATATTCATTTTGTGAAAGTTTTTGTTTCTTTTTTGGAAATCGAAATCAGGCGCGTCAGTAAAATTGGCAGGAAAATGAATAGCAGTCATCTGACATTTCAACTGTTGATAGGTTTATAGTATTGCTGAACTGACATGGAACTTAGTTATACATTGCTAAAGAAATTGACAGTATTTTAGCCTGTTAACAGTTAGGAGTAGCACAATCCTCAGCATAGCTCTGTCCCTGCACTGTAGACCTGTATGTTTGTCGGTGTTTGTCAGAGCTGAGGGAATGTTTACTTGTTTTCTGTTGCGCTCCACTGATGTATGTGTCTCCACCAATGCAAGCTATGATGACTGAAATAAGATAAAGCAACTTCTACGCTGCTGCATCTATAATGCATTCTCTGGTCTCTTACTTTGGCAACACCACCTCCATTGCTGTACAGCTTTTCCTTTGTGAAAGGGAAACATACTCATAATAACCAAGATTTATTTGCCAAAATCTCTTTCCTATGGTAAAGAACTCCATCCTCCCACCCATGTATGCAAATTTCTATTTTAATATGCTGGTTTTTTGTTGGAGTCTTAGAATATTGCACTCTTAACCATAACAAACTGTTTGTGTATTGGCCAAAGCCAAGTGAATGCAAAACAGTTGCCATGTAAGGCAAGATCATATTCTGTATAAGTTACATGACTTCTGTAAGGCCACATCATACTGTATGTGTTACATGTCTTCTAAGTAGGCTGACTCTGGATCAGTTACTTGTTAGCTAGACTTAAGTGCTGTGTTCAACCCTCACACTATACTACAACTGTGTGCCGATCAGTTATAAAATTCAAGACTGTACTGCCCCATTCTGTTGTACAAATAAATGGATTGAACATCTCGGCTGTCACTTTCATGCTGTCACATATATACCTTGCATAGCCGATCAGTCAAGATCCAGAAGACTGCCAGCCAGAACTGTTTTAGTGGGAAAAAACTGTGAGACGCTGTAAGCATTAAGGCAAGTGTAATTTATTTAAAACAGCTCTAGGTGTTGCAGGTGTTGATGATGTGCATATTTACTAAAGCCCCTCACAGACAAGCAGTGCATAAATCAACAGACTTATTGATAGGCTAAAATAATTACTTTCAATTCTTGGTTTTAAAAGATAGAAAACAAAACGTGAAAACACTGTAAACCTAAAAGGAACATCTGATGTGTATTACTGTTAGGACAACACACAATACTATGCAAAGTATTTGACATGTACTATAGAAACAGTTGTTACAGTAGCAAGATTCAAACCTTTAGTCCCCTTTATCTTCATCGATGGAATACATCAAAGAGTTATCGCATAATCATGACACATAGTTCTTCTTGGATTGCGTGAAGCAGAAATGAATCTTCCCTGAATAAAACATCTGAAATCGTAGACGTACAGTATCTTACAGTAATGTAGTGCAAAGTGTGCTCTCCCTTTTCAAGATAAGATTCAGTGTATTCATGACAAGTATAATAGAAAAAAAACAGCACATGCATGTGATGTTCATTGAAACTATTTACAGTATAATATTCTTTTCATCTCTGCAAGAATTGCATAAGAATCCGTTGGGAAAACATTTCAAAACTACTCACTATTCTATTGTGAAAAGGTGATAGCTACACATTTGCTACACTCTACATCCATGGATTTAATCCTTCTACTTGCTATAAAGTTTGGCATCTGACTAAAGTCTTATTCTAAAAGGACTGGCAGTTTGAGCATTAAGGGAAGAGGAAAGGAGTGTTGTGCTATGAAAACCCATTGTCACTTTTTTCTTCAGAACCAAAAGGTCTCTTTGTACATGGTCTCTCAACAACCTTAATGTATGGTTAAAGTAGAAAATGATTGAGATAATTATTTTAATTCCAAAATTTCATACTCGGAAATATTCTGCATGAAGAAATAAAGACAGGAAAGTTCTTATAAGAGAAATTAAATCCAATGAAAGACTCCATAATATACTATATTATATTCTTTCCCAATTGTTTCTCAAATTGTGGCATAGAGGTAGGGGTGCAACACACTCCTAAATGCATCTGTTTGAACCAGTTCAGCTTTGAAATGTCTATACTACTGATTATGAGTGTGCTCAAGGGCTAGCAAAGATGAATATTACAGTAACTTTTGATTAAGGCCTGACTCATTTAGCAGTTATTTTGAGTATGATCTGGCCGTTAGCTGCTAGACGATAAAACAAGGTCCGGTTCCTTGGCTTCCTCTTGTCCGTTGTTGCTGTGCCCACAGTTCCCAGTCAGCTCAGGGAAGAGGCTGGTCCGAGCAGAGTGACTCGGGGAGCCTGGAGTTGGACTCATGCCTGGCTTCTTGGGAGGGATCGGAGGAGGAGGATGGGTCTTTTCTGAGCGAGGAGTGAGGGGCGAGCGGATGCCTGGAGACAGGGGCCCCGAAGAAGGCGACCTGCCCCCAGGAGGAGATGCTGCTAGATTGCGGTAGTCTGTACCAAATGGAGAGCTGCTGATTGGTGCCAGCTTGACTCCAGCCTGCTGGCTGGTGAAGCGGGACAGCACCTGAGTGACCGTGTTGCGGGCCAGCTGCTTAGCTGTGCTGTGCTCTGATGGGGGAGGGATGGAGGAGGTGGTGGGGGAGAGGTCTCTGGGGGAAAGAGGCCCACCATGCTGCTGCTGCTCCAGCTCAGCCTGGCTCTGGAACTTGTGCCTGGCAGCCTGGAATCGCTGGTTGACTCCGGCCTGGTACGAGGACTGATGGAAACCTGGGCTGCCCAGACGCTTGGCAAGAACGGGGGAGGAAATGGGGGAAGAGGAGAGAGATGAGGAGGCTGTGCTGGAGGGAGAGTGAGGGTGAGGATGAGGGTGAAGAGGGGAATGCAAAGGTGCTCCTCCCCCATTCTCTACCACCCCTCCATTTTCTGCTCCCCTCCCTTCCTGCGTTGGTTCGGTCTCTTTATGTGTGTGATGGCCATTGACCTTTGACAGTGAGGTGGATTTAGGGGTGACAGTTACCTTTCCATCCGGTTCAGTCTGAACAGAGGTGGACACCACCATCATCTTGGAAAGTGCGTCTTTCCCCTCCGTCACAGTCTCCTTTACCTCCTGTTTACATCCTTCAGGTTCAGCCAACCTCTTCCTCAGCTCCTCCACCTGTCTTTCAAGCTCCCTACTCCTCTCCTCCTCTTTGCTGATCCTGGCTCTCATCTGCTCCCGTTCTGCGTCAAACTCAGCCAGCTGCCTCTCAGACCTGGCCTCTAGCTGGGCCGACCTGCTCTTCTCATTTTCAAGAACCCCTCGGATCTTTTCCAGGGCACTGGTCTCCTCTTGGAGCAAGGTGCGAAGTTTGCAGACCTTCTGAGCCTCCTCCTGTGCCTGGGTGCTGGCTTTCTGGAGCTCCAGGGTCAGACTGGAGGAGAGCTGCTGCTGCTGGGACAGTGACTCCTCCACCTTGCTCACCAACTGTGCTTGTTCCTTCTCTAACCTCCGCACAGCTGCACGCTCTACGTCCAACTAGAAAGAGAGGGAGAGAAATAAGGCAAGGCAGCTCTTCCGAATTTGACCACAAGGAGGCAAAAGAGCACTGCTCTGTTGCATTAAACCCAACACAGAATGAGAAACAACTGAAAATACAATTGTTTTGTTTTTTTTGTATAAAACATTTTAATATGTATTTTGCACTAAACTCAATATATCTGCATACAATAACAACTGACTATAAATGTCCAAATGGACTTTATTTCTATACTACTATAAAGATAATTCTCTTATCTTTTACATTTTTCCATTATTTGCCAATAACATTCGCAATACTTCATCCAGTGATGTTAATTCATTCAAATAGCTTATCTGAAATAGATCAAGTGTTATAAAACATGTATTATTTGTTTTATTAGACACAAAGCTTATAAAAATGGAGCCCACTTGGACAGCACAAAGCGGTAAGTTTCAAAATGGCTGACATCCTTGGTAGGTAATCAATGCCTGTTTCTCTCGGCCCTGTCTATGTGCAGTTCTGTCTGATGAAATACACTTACATTAAGTCCACTTGAGTCATACAGGATGAGGAAAGGGGATGAGGTACAGTATGTGTCACTTCAGAGTGAGAAGAGACAGATAGAGGAGCAGTTGTTCATGTTTCTCCTTATCTAAGAATTATTTGCTTGCAAGGCATGTTTATGGAAAGTTCAGCTTGCAGTGAGGTCATAGGAGGGTGACCAGACCGCTTAGAAGCTTTGATGAGTAACAGAGGGAAATGGGAGGTGATGAAATATAATCAAGTGTGTATGATTAGTGTACAAGAAAACAACACGGACAGGAAGGCATGAGGAATACTGGGAGACATGCAGGAACCCTTTCTTACATAAGGCCCTTGTGCAGTTTGTATGGTGCTGATTGTGCGCACACAGTGTGTGTGTGTGTGTGTGTGTGTGTGTGTGTGTGTGTGTGTGTGTGTGTGTGTGTGTGTGTGTGTGTGCGTGCGCGCGCGAGCTGACCTTGCGTTAGACATGGACATCCATTATCTCAGGTTTCCTGAGGCCATAAAAGCCCCATGGCTGCTGGACAACTAAACAATGGCCTCTTCCTCCTCTGTTTCCTATGGAACAGCCCTGTGCTTGTGCGTATGGGTGCCTGTGTGTGTCTTTACTTCAACAGGCCAAGCCCTCTCCACCCTACTGAGTTACACAACAGTGGAGCTGCACTGATGCTTCCCTGCTCAGTCCCTGGGTTTTAAATCACAGCTACACACTGTGCAGACAGGCAGAGGAGAGGGAAAGAGGAGGAGGAGCTGAGAGAGGGAAAAGGAAGCAGAAAAATCTCTCCCAACAGATGTTCCCGTCTCTCAGCAAGTGAGCACCACTTTCGCTGAGACTCGACTGTCCAAAACCAAACAGAAACTCATACAAATACATACACACACAGCAGAACAGTTCATGTAAACTTTGCGTCTTTTACATGTCAATCACACCTGTTGCAGCAGTTTGTCTCTTTCTGTCTGCAGCATGACGGTGAAATCATCGCTCTGTGCCGAGTCCTGGGCACGCCGTCGTTTCTCCTCCTCCAGATCAGCTATCATCTGTCAAGCATACAGCCAAATAAAACAATTATATGACATCCCATGCAGACAGGTTTCTTGTTGCAGGATTCAGTGCATGAATTTGACTCCCTTCTCAAACTGGCAAATTACATTTCTTTGATTTATTTTTCTTATGAGAAATTTCCTGCTCCACACTGTATTGCTGCTGTGAAACCTGTCCCCTGACTAATCAGCATGCATAGCAGAACCTCCTCTTCTTTACAAGGTTTTGTCTTTTTCATCAGCTCTCTAAAGTTGACTCCTAGACAGTCTATAAGTTGAGTGTTTATCACTCCCATAAATCTGCTGTAATGAAGCTCCACATCACCCCTCTAAGGCCTGGGTGTGGCTGCTGTCTGTCTGCTTCACTCGCCCAAAAAATAGCCCCTAGCCAAGTCTACAGTGGCTGAAACATGGAGACAAATAGATACATGCTGCACAACACAACAAGCCTATTGTACAAGTGTGAGCCCCTGTGTGACACTGGGTACTTGCAACCCCCCCACACCCACCACCACCACACACACACACACACACACACACACACACACACACACACACACACAGATACACACAAAACTGACATGAGAGCTGGAGAAGTCACAGAGTGTTAGTTCATGGCTGTATACGAGTGCGCATTGCCTCTTACCCTCCTGTGTCTGCTCTCAGCAGCAGCCAACTGTCCCATCATCCTGTCCTGCATCCTCTTGCAGTGAGCCATGACCAGTTTAAGCACAGCCAGAGGATTTGGGCCCACTGCTCGACCCTGCTGGTGGGTGTGATGCGGGGTGAGTGTGTTTTGGCGCTCCACAGCTTCGCTGTCCCGCTGCAGCGCCAGGAATGGATCGCTAAGGTCATACTGGCCGTAGCGTTCCTGGATGAAAGCATCTCTGTGTTGAGCCTAACAGACACACACACAAACATGCAACACACACATAATTGTGTTAGGCGGATACAGTAACTTACATTAACTCATGTGCTGACTCTCAGATTGAAAAGGAATCTCTCTTTCCAAGAACGGCTGCTAAATAATCAGTTTTACCAAATGATGAATGAACAAACACACACACACACACACACACACACACACACACATCACAGAAAGACATGTAAACATACATACACATGTGTGGCTCAGAGGTAATGAGACGAGCAAGTATCAGATGAAATCCAAGAGCTGAGTATGGCCTCAGTGCCTCGGTACTTGTGGCTTACAGGAAGGGAACATTAATAAATGTCCATGTACCTGTTCAGCCCTGACTGGGCAAAAAAAATGACCAGTGTGTTCACGTGTGTCAGTAAATGGTTTTGATCGATGTGTTCTCCTTTCTACACTGCAGCACAGGAAAGAATGTGTGAAGAAGATAACATGAGGCCCGACGGCCAGTTCCAAGAAAAACACAAAGTAACTCACCACAAACATACTGTGTAAGCAAAGACACACACACACACACACACACACACAAGCACTTCAGCACATGATGCATGAGAGATGACTGACTTGTAGGTAATAACTTAAGGCATTCATATTGCCATTGAACATAGACTCAGGAGTATGTGTGTGTGTGTGTGTGTGTGTGTGTGTGTGTGCAGGAAATCTGTGTGGGGTGATGTTATTGTCAGTGTGAGCACAAGCAGATGGCGTTTCCCCTCAAACCAAACACAAAGAAGAGGTGAGGCACGGCTGTCCAACCCCCCACCAGGGACAGATGTTAACTCCTCCCCAGGGATGCAGGGGTGAAGGACCAGGCCATGAAATCAGAGCACAACACAACACACACACACACACACACACACACACACACACACACACACTGAGCTGTCTCTTATGAAGTGGTTTGATTATACCTAAATTAAAACAAAATAATTGAATAAAACGTGATAGTGTACTTGTTTAAGGGTAAAAGTTAGATCCTGGGGTATAAAATAAATTAAGGTAAACTAATTTCAGCTTGTTTGACAGAAACCTGCTGGAATGACAAGATATGAGCTGAAACGTGATGGGGCCTTGCTGACCTCCCTCATGGTCACCCTGACATGTCATCAGGAGGTCTCATTAACTACGTACAGTTGGAGGGCTTGAGTTCTGGAGGCATGCAGGGTCAGCTGGCGGTGCTAGTGATGCAAGCACATGCCAAAGGGCTCACTCCACGTGCCTCCGGGACACCCGTCTCCGTCTCCCCACGCAGTCCTCATCAAAACATCCCTGGGTCACCCTGCTCCCCGTCATCCCCCCTGCCCAAACATGCATGGCACCACATTCCTCTGTCGGTCCATCATCATTTCTCAGAAAATGCCTCTCCCTCCACTTCCGCCTCTCTGTCAGACTCTTTTTTCTCACACTCTCTCAGACCACTGCAGCACAAATACACACACACACACACACACACACACACACACACACACACACACACACACACACACACACACACACACACCCCGAGGACATCAGTAAGGAGGCTGTATTTGAGGCTTTTTCTTTGGCTGAACAAAGAATGCGACCCTCAGTGAAGAGATTACAGGACTCGCACAAAGACACTGTCTCAATGCCTCAGTCTCATGCATTGTCTCCATGTCTGACCCAGTAGGCTTCAATATGTGAGAGTGGGTATGAGTGTATGTGCGTAATAGTCTGTGTCTCTTTTTTCAAATACAAAATGTATGTGTGCATATGTGTGTGCCATTGTGTGTATGTTTACTGTGCTGGGCTTTGGAGTAAAGCTGTAAAGCTTTTTCATCTAGCTGGAGACAAAACTGCAGCTTCCTGAGTTAAATAACTGTTTAAACAGGCCATTAAAGGGGGTATGCTGAGATTGGCTTGTGTGTGTGTGTGTGTGTGGTGTGTGTGTGTGTGTGTGTGCAGTAGCCCTAGCCTAGGGTCTGGTCTCTTATGGTTTTCTCAGGACACATCTGATCATAATGACAGAGTGTACTTTCCTTCATGAGAGAGCATAGGAACCAAACNTGTGTGTGTGTGTGTGTGTGTGTGTGCAGTAGCCCTAGCCTAGGGTCTGGTCTCTTATGGTTTTCTCAGGACACATCTGATCATAATGACAGAGTGTACTTTCCTTCATGAGAGAGCATAGGAACCAAACCCTCTCTGCTCCAAAGCTCTCATTTCTTCCCAGCTACTGATGATAAATGTCTCTCTAACTTAGTTGTGGGAAGAAATATATTATATGCTATGAATTTACTTTTTGTCCCCGTTTCATAATCAATAATTTGTTTTTGAATTTGAACCAAGTAACGGACCTCGCTGCATGCAAGAGCTCCTCTACAATTTCATGCAAAGTGGTAGCTATAGAAATGGGTGCGCTACAGCTTGTTTGATCATTGCCTTCTTCAAAAGCCTGTGTCCTCTAATGCATTCCCACAGCTGTAACAAGGTGTGAAAGACAACCTGATGCTTTTCACCTGGAGAAATTCTCGGTCAGTTAGTTACCTACAGCTTCAGGGCACAATCATGCCCTTGTGTGAGATGAAAAGAGCCAGGGAGTCCTGTTTCCGTACTGAGCCTCCGAAATGACTTTCACACAATGAACACAGCAGCCAGCATGGACAAAGTTGCAGCTCTAAATGGTATCGGGTGTATAGCAAATGTACTATCTGCTATAAAACTGTGTGGCTATGCATGCGCATGTGAATATCTGCTATATGCGTGTGAATCTATGAGCATGCAGCTAATGTATGTTTGCTTTACTGTGTGTGTGCCATGCTGCATAAGGTTCTTTGCATAAGCGGCTGTCTCCAGGGTAACATCTCAAATCCAGAAGCTTTGCAGTGGGGCTTATGGGAAAGTATGCATTCCTGGTGAATTAGTCCGCCTTTCAGAAGAACAGTTAGACACACAGAGACAAAAGGACAGCAGGAACAGACCTGTCAGATATGAAAAGGCTCTTTCATGGAACTTAAACTTAAGGAGTCCAGTGCAAGCGTCTTCCCAAGAGGAGATGCTCCAACATCTTACTTTTATAAAACATCAAAATAAACTGGGGTATAAGGTTGCCTTTCAGTTCTATTCTGTTATTTCAAACCAAACAATGCAATATTCTGATCATAAACCTGCAGTGCAAGAAAAGCACAGTGACAAGTCATTGTTTGTCTCAGAGCAGAAAATCAGACAGAGCAACGGGAGCTGCAGAGCGTGTAGTGCACATTTCTGTCTCTGGCTTCAATGTTTTACTAGATGACGTAAAGAAGATTAGACTTGAGTAGTGCAGTTTTGATCATGGGGTATGGACAGGATATATAGTCAATGCGCCATTTGTCATCAGTGTTGAATGGCAGGCCTTTGCAGGTGACAGATATCAGCCCACATCTGCTCTAACAGAGCTGGTGAGGCTACAAGCTCAAACAGTCAAACAACAATCAAGTCCTCTTAAGATTCAATCATGCCTCATGTGTGTTTTTCTAAAGCACCAGTTGAGCAAATGTCAAAAAAATACCATAAGGACTAACAACATATCACATACACAGGAATGCCCTTGTTGTTGGGATTAGCACTAGAAATAGAGTTTGGCGTGACTGTCTGTTGCTGGGGCCTAATGACTAGCTAACTAGCAACTATGGACAACATAATCATTAGCTAAGCAACACTTTGGCAGGGTAAGAGTCGGCAGTATTGTCTTGGGAGAACCCACAGACTGTCTATGTGAGAACCCAAACTGCAAATGTACCAACTCAAAGCCGTACTCACTGATCTCTTTGGCCGCTTGTTGTCAGAGGAGCTGCATAAGAAGCTAACGTGCAAATGGCTCGACATATTATCACCTGATGAAGTTGTTATCTCTAATGTGTTAGCAAATAGTTGCCTACTTCAAAATGGAGGAGACACAGAGCAACTTTATCGATCCTCTGGAGTCGTGTGTCAGACGACGTTGACACATGCAAGTTCAGTATTCACTCTTCTTTTAGCTCTGTTGTGGTCGAAAATGAAATGTATCCACCATTAGCGATATAGATGTTCAACCTTCCTCACCAGCTAAGCAGCTAATCAGCTAACTCTGACTGCTGTACAGTTAGCATACAGTAGGATTATCAGATGCTGCCGGACACCAGGTTGGTGACAGTGTTTAAACTGAACCACAGTAAATTTGTGATACCAAAACAAGTTTAAAGAGGTGGAGAGTGGAGAGTTCACTGTTTAGATCCCTTCAGATAGACATTCTCTTATGCACCGACATTCCCAGGATGTGAACACTTGTGATTTAGGTCCTGAAATGATCAGGTGTACTGCTCTACAGCTGTTTCTCGCTTGGCAATGTGGGCTCCCACTTTGTCAGTGTAGTGTAAGCTAGTGAGGGATCATGCCATTGCTGCAAGGTAGTGTAGTGATTTTGGTCACTTGGGGGTATTAAACACGCAGTGATCTGAAGGTACTGTGTAATTGTCGACATGCTTTGTTCTCCAAAAGAATAATAAGAGAGAGAGAGAGAGGGAGAGAGAGAGAGAGAGAGAGAGAGAGAGAGAGAGAGAGAGAGAGAGAGAGAGAGAGAGGGGGAGAGAGAACGAAAGAGAAGGAGTGAGATGAGGTGTGTGCTTAAGGCTTAAGCCGCATCCTCCACACCTCCCACCCACACATTAACCACAGATGGCACGGAGATAACTGGGAAGAAGCAAAACAAAACCTCACTTTACTTTATGGGCCGTGCAATGAGGCAACTTCCAAGTAATCTTTAACTGCCTCAAATGTTATCATCAGTGGTTAGTGATGAAACATGGAAGCAGGTGCTCTCACCCTTTTGTCAGGCAGCGATTTTTGAGAGGCATAACATATCATTAGGTGGAACAAGGAAGTATTCTGGTATTTCTTGAAATAAAGTCAAAAATGTAACTGGAGGGGCAATTCACTGACGGTGAAGCTTCGTTGAAAAAGCAGTGATTTTTCTTATCTCAGACTGGCTGTTGTCTCAGTTTGGCCTGACCTCCTTTATCACTATTTTATTTGTGGCAGGCAAATAATCTCCGGTTCAGTGCAAATAACTGTGAAGGGTGGAGTTCATTACATTACAGATATGAACCTTTAGTTTCTAACTGGGTCTATGGATAAGAGAGGCTGCCATAAAAAGGCATCCTAAGGAAGAGGTGTGTGTGATGTGCTGTGTGTGGGTGTGTGTTTCTGTCCACCTATTTTTTTTTTTTTTTTTAAACCAATAAATGCATCAGGTACTTTGATGTCATCTCAGAGTTTTCAGGTCAGGGAGCTTTACTCTCTCAGGCCTCAGGCTCAGGTGGTTGATATGGAAGCACTTCACTGACATCACAGATCAGTGTGCATTACAGTGTTACATTAGTTCTTTCCTTGCTTTATAAGGGTACCTTACATGTAGTTTCTGCTGAGTTTTTTTTTTTTTTGTGTGTTATCGTATTTTCCCCTTCCAGTCTTGACAACATGTCCAAATTGTGCAGTGATTCTTGTTAAGTAACAGAATATACAATCTTATCTGAACAGCACACTCTAGCCAGGCCCTATTGTTTATGGAGTCAGGAAAACACGTCAGCCTGCAAAAATAGACAAAGCATTTTAGGATTACAGGATATGACATAATATGAAAAAAAAACAAAAACAGGTCCTGCTGAGCATGACTGTAACATTTTAACTTCACAAACCTGATGGCGTGGCTAAAAAACAACAACAAATAAATAACAGAAATGTTTGTTTCACCACCACAGGTACTGGAGGCCACAGAGTCTTTAATAAAAAAAAAATAAAAAAAAAGCTGAAAGCAGTCCCTTGGCGCAGACGTGAGGTTTACAGTGGCAAGAAAAGTAAGTAGGTCTGGAAAAAGTATATGAACCCCCTCGGCTAATGGCATTAACTAAAGCTAACTGGAATCAGGAGTTATCAAGAAACAAGACTGGAGGTGTGGGTTACAGCTACTTTGACTTTCAAGTTGGCTATTCACAAGCCATGCCTTGCAAAAAAAAAAAAAGAGATCTCAGAAGACCTGTGATCAAGAGTTGTTGATCTGCATGAAGCTGGAAGGGTTACAAAGTTATCTCAGAGAGTTTAAATATTCGTGAGTCTACAGTTGGATAAACTTGCTATAAATGGAGATGATTTATTTCCCTGGCTACTCTCCATCGAAGTGGGCGTCCAGCTAAGATGAGTCCACAAGTACAACGCAGAATGATCAGTAGTGTGACAACGAACCTCAGAGTAACAGCTTAAGCTTAAAATAATCATTGGAGCTGGATAACATCTCTGTTCATGAGTCAACTACACACAAATCATGGTGTCCATGGCAGGACATTACAGATAAAGCCACTGCTCTCCAAAAAAAAAAAAAAAAACGTCACACTCCATTGACGCTGCAGGGAAAATGTTTTGTGGACTGATTAAACTAAGGTGGAATTGTTTGGGAAGAACATGCAGCACTATGTGTGGTGCAAAAGGGGCGCCTCATACCAACATGCAAACTTCATCCCAAAGGTGAGGCACAGTGGAGGGAGCATCATGCTTTGATCCTGCTTTGCTGCCTCCGGGCCTGAACAGCTCGATGCCATGGATGAGAAAATGAATTCCAGAGTTTATCAAGGTATCGTACAGGAAGACATCAGGGTGGCTTGTCCACCTGCTGAAGCTCTGCTGATGGAATGACCAGAAGAGAGCCGCTCACACCAGAATCTATGGCTGAGCTGAAGCAGTTCTGTAGGAAGAATGTTCCTCCTGAACAAGTTGCAGGTCTGATCAGCAGCTACTGGAAGAGCCTCTATTGTGCTAAAGGAGGTTCGACCAGTTATTAAATCCATAAGGGTTCAATTACTTCTTCCACCAGCACTGTGAATGTGAAATGGATGTGTTCAATAAAGACACAAAATATTATAATTGTTTATGTGATATTAGGTTAAGCACATGTTTGTTTACACTTGTGACTTAGATGAAGATCAGATCACATTTTATGACCAATTAACAGAAATCTAGGTCATTCCAAAAGGTTCACTTTCTTCCTTGCCACTGTATTTCCATATCACATTTTGTTTCCACATCCAGTGTTAAAAATTTGTTCCCCACTGTGTTCACCTGGTTGTTGAATGTCTCATACTAAGTAGACAGACTTCAGAGCTCCCTCACCGAGTATTTAAGAGGCAGGTAATCAAGGCTCTCGCCTATGTGTATTTCCACCTCTGTAAATAACATTCTTTTCACCTACTAACAACTTGCTCTAGGCTGGATTTATGCTATTTTTGCCTAACACAGAGAAGATAATAAAAGCATTAGTTCCTGTATAGGTGTAGACAATCATCAACTGAAAAGATATGCCACTCCTGTTGGAATGCAGGACCTGTTTCTGGTGTCATGTTTTCAGGAATGTTCCCTCCAGTAAAACTGCTTATCTGTGCCCTTAGTAATGAGAACTAGAAAAAATACAATCGAGAATCTGTAGAGACAAGTCTCATAGGTGACGCCATCTCATGCTGTAAGTAAGTTAATACTTATACAGTTCCAAATTTTCAGGGGATTCAAGTGAAGGGAGCGCTTGGATACAGTTGCCCCGAGCAGTATAGAGGCATCCCAAGTACTTGCTGCTGAAAGGACAAAATATTTAAAAGGAGGAAAAGAGCGGGGAGGATTTGAGAGCCTCTTTGTCTTTTGTCAACCGTCCTCACACGCAAGTAAACATTACTGGCACACACTGAGCTTGGTTAATGCACCATGTTGACAACACTGAGAAGAGAGCGCTAGTTAGAGAAGAACGCTGTTATAGGAATTGTTTGTGGCATATTAAGATTCTATGGGAAAAAAAAAATTGCAGTGGGAAGATGAAAATAAAAAAAGTCAAGGCAGAGAAAAACTCCCTGGGTGCCAAATTAATACATAAACACAGTGCTCAATATTGGACACATTAACCTGCTATCAACCCCTGACACTCCCCTCTGCAGCCACATGTCCACACATAATCTGCCCTAACATGGACCAGTCTGTTAAAATGGTGTACAGGCCCCCAGTGGGTACAAGGGAAGTCAGTGATTTGAATCTACAACTCTGTACATCCTCTCCACAATAAACACCGCAGCCTCTAACTGGCCCACCAGAGACCACCAGAGTGTGTGTTCGTGAGCGAGGGGGCAGATAGGACACAAGTCACGGTCAAACATGAAAGACCCCCCGTGGCATGTCTGTGTGTGAGGAAGAGAGAAGGAGGAAAGGAGGGAGAGGAAACGAGCAGTATAGCAAGAGAGAGGGGAATACGTACGGACAACAAGGCGACTGTACATCTGTCCTCAGGGAATGACTCTGTGTGTGTTTGTTTTGTGTTTCGGGTCAAACCCTGCGTGCCTCAGATCTGGGCAACTGCCATTCGAAATGTATCTTAGCTGGTGCGGTAAGACCGGCTCCCCCTCAGGCCCTGACACTGAAATTATCTCATAATTACAGCCTCTCTTGCTTTCTAGATAAACTTCACTATGAAGGCCTATCTATTAGAACGAGACAGTCACGGTTGCTACTTGTCTTCATCACAACCTCAACCACTATTTCAGACAATGAGTCATGCATTCAGGGCCTAAGTAGCTTCATCTAACCGTGGAGCAGCTGCTGCGGTCATGGAGACAATCAGAGACAAACACTGCAGAGCGTTGTAGCTGCAGAAAGATATACTATCTCTTTGAAAAATTTGCGAATGAGCTTCACAAAACTGAGGATTAAAAAGGAACAACTGTGTATGACATCTGAAATGTGATAAGGTTGTTGTTGAGTAACGTCCGAGATGATGTTCCCAGTGTGTGCATTCAGTTTGTCCAAGTGGACACGATACCTAAAACATCCAGATGTCATCTAAAATTTGTTTCTGTTTAGCAGCAGTGGGAGTTTCCCCAAATTAAAACAAATGTGAGCACAAACAGTCACTCAACACACGCTGGAGACACACCAGGTATGAAGAGCAATGTGCCTGAGGTGGACCTATAGATAATGTAGACAAATTAGGACTGCATAGTGCCTTAATTGGGGGGGAAAAAAATGAAAAACACTGATTGCAGCTGTGACCAAAGACTGGTCTGACTTGCAATAATGTTGGTGCTGGCCTGGGAAACCAGAAGGGCTCTGGTGCCATTGTCTTCATTAGCTCTGTTTCCTCACTTTCCTGTTTACACATCCCCTCTCTGTTAGCTGACATTCTTTTTTGGGGTTGTAATGCTGAAGCAGGTTAATTTTAGTGTCTGAGGATGTCTTCAGTGAAGAGAGGACAAAAAGAGTGTTTTATTTATTTTTCAATCTTTATGTCCAACTCACCCTGAGGGTGTGTATGACCACATCCTGGGCCTCCAGCTCTCCCTCCAAGATACTGAGGAGAGTCAGCAGCTCTGCTCTGCTCAGAGCCTCCACATTCATTTTCTCCTCCTGACGACAGAGAGAGAGAGAGAGAGAGAGAGAGAGAGAGAGAGAGAGAGAGAGCGAGAGAAACACAGGGAAAGAAGAAAGAGATATTCTTACTGGAACAGATAAACATGATACCACGCCTGCTTTTGTAAATCTGCTTCTATTATATAAAAGAAACAAATTAACATAAAATGCAATCAGAATGATCTATCAGTACATGAGACGCGAATGCTTCGGGTATTGCAAAGGGATTTATTTGCAGAATAGCAGTTAGTGGAGGGACAGAGCTGATATAGGATGGGACTTGGGGTCCCATCTGTGGCCTCACTGGGTTGTGCTCAGGGTTATAAACAGGAAGTCATTAGCATATCTGCATGTTAAGTTGCTAAGGGACTGAGGACAGTTGCCTGCTCTGCTTCAGTGCCATCTATCAAGAGGTTCAATGCCATCTGAAGACTATCAGGCAAATGTGACTGTTTGAAACATCTAATGTGGCATAGACTTGTGAGGGATTAGCCATCCCAACCTCCATCCTCTGTGTCCTCTGATTCATCGGCTGGGTCCAGTCTAGTCATAGCGACCAGACATAACACTCTTCACACAGCTGACGTCATCATCCGCAAAATGAAGAAGATGACAAAACACGGCTGACTTCATCTCTTAAAGTAGGGGCGAGGTCGCTGTCAGGTTATCCTCAGTGCCTTATAATAGCGTGGCTGTGTTAATCACGTGTTTGACAAGTTATGTGCAAGCTGTGAAGCCAGATAACAGAGGCCATAATGATCAGCCTGTCTCTCACTCCTCACATCAAGAATAAACTAACTGACAAGTAACAAAGCTCAGTGCAGGACGCCTTAAGGGTTTTGTAGTCTGCATAATGTATACTTGCTGTCAAATTAAAGCAAAAACCCAACATTTAGTATTTTAGTAAAGTCAACCACCAGCTACCAGAACAGCTTCACTGCTCCTCGGCATAGACTCTACAAGTCTGGAAGGGATTTCTTCCAAAAGACATTCCCTCACTGGGTGTTTTGATGATGACGGCGAGTGCTGTCTGTCAAGTGGGTCCCAAATCTATAGTTGATCAGCTGAGTTGAGATCACCACAGCGAAAGCCATAGCTTGTGATTCTTATAATATTCACGCCCATCAGACCTCTCAGTGACCCCTCGTGATCTGTACAGAAGCAGATACTCCACCCAAGTTTTTCCTTTTAATATCTCACCCCAGCCTCTATTAAAAGTGAAAGCAACTGCCCTCATCTTCACTTTAAACAAAGCCCTCCTCTCCTGCCCGCTGCCAGCCAAGGTTGCATCTCAAGGGTGCTGTTTACTTTCTTGCAGCAACGTCCCAGAACATTTTAAGTGTCTCCAACGAAAATTCCTCAGTGCACTCTGTGGCTCACCGCACATTCACAGCAAAGCAACAAAGTGTGAATCAGTAAGTTATTTACTGGCTACTAACTTGACATGTATTGCAAGGGTGGTTTCTGCCAGAACCACACACACACACACATATTGATATTATAGTTAGTTTAGTTTCAATATTAGTGTGTGTTTGAGCTGGTGGCTGTCAATGTAGGCCAAACTCACTATGTGTCACCTGATATCTGTAAATCAGCTCCCATGGAAAATCATTCCAACATTCCAGGGATGCCCACACCACGGGAATCATCACTCAAGAGCAAATCCCTGAATCCCACTCCGTAGCCCGCATAGTTTCAAGTGGCAGTGTTGTTGCAGTTTGGCTTTTGGTAGTCGAGCTAATAACAGGCCAGTGTAAATATTTGAATGGTTTTGTCATGAGATGTTACATTCATGCCAGATTTACAGGTCAATATAGAAGCATATAACAGGTAATTTGACAACACTGATCTGTGGTGAGTGTCAACCCCCCCCCACCAGTTAGGCCGCCGCCCCCGTGCCTGTACACTGCCTCTGGTGTGTATTATACAGACAGTTCATTGTTTCCTCACCCTTTTTTTTTTTTTTCCCCTTGCAATCATTTCTCTCAGGTAGCAAAACAAAGTCTGGGTTGAACTTTACTCATCCTGGCTGTGAAACCAGGGAGGGCCATGTGCTAATGTGTCCAGCCTGCAGGATCAGACCGCTCAGTGTGTTCAAAGCAATAACTGATCGCAGTGGTTGCTCAGGAACAGCAGAGGATCCACCTGCCGTCCTGGGCCTTTGTCTGGCACAAGGGGCTGTCACTATTTTCCGTGCTGGCAACATTCACTTCAATTGCTATGTGTCGCAAACATCCCAAGAACATCAAATTAGCTATCATGTATATAGATTTCCTGCAGTGATGATGGTGAAATCAATACTGCATCAATAGGACTAAAGTACTCACACCCATTAGCCTGAAAATCAACTCAACATAAGACCCCTGGATCTCAGCGAGTGTTGCTATTATCTACGATTTATCTACACATAATTTTGGCTTTGCCATTTAGAATAAAGTCCTGTGTAGTTTGTGGCAGTAAAGTTTCAGATAACCAGAAATGGCAAAGCCCCATATATAGTACGAGCAAATATCAGATGAAGCAGAGACCTGGAGTTTTGCATTTTGGTTTCTAACTAAAAAGCCGCAACAGATTGGAGATTGAATTCCTGGAGGCCAGAAACAAATATTACCACAACCTTCCGTAATCAGAAAAAAAAAAAAAAACATACCTTCATACGCTCTGTTCTATGTTCATTAATTGTTCTCCCAATCCAAAAATGAGGCTCCACAGCGACATGAATCAAAGCAGTCCACTGTCACAGGCACTCCTGCTCCGAGAAAGGCGAGTGCGAACAACAGACGTTCAATGACGAGGGTGCCAGCCAATCAGAGGGGCGTAGTGCAGCAATCTGACCAATGGCTGGCGGGTTCGTCTTTTAGGGGGCGGGGATAAGGGCGTTCCCGAGGCTGTGGGGATAAACCTCTTTGTTTCAGACACAGCAGTGTGTCCCAGCGTCAGCCTTGTATGTGGAGATTTGCCCTAATTGCAAATTGAATGTACAGTTTTACTACTTCAGATATGTTGTTGTAGTAGTAGATTTAACTTTAAAAAAAAAAAATCAAATTGCGAATTTGCTCCTTCAAACACTATCCGTAGGCTTACTTAAAAAACTCGTAGAACCGGTTATTTCCCCAGAACACTGACACTTGCGGGGAAGAGGACTTGCATCGTCTTACACAGTGTAGTGGTTCCTCTTGATGGCCAAATGACAGCATCACAACACACTCTGTGGCCTGTGGCCCTGCAGCTCAGTCGAGGGTTAGTCTAGCATGCTGAAGGAATGACAAACGTGCATTGCGACAATTCAACACGTTTCTTCTCCAACTCCTCTCGTTCTGCAGCATTTAGTCTATTTTAGTGAACAACGGTGACTGTAAGGGAGGCAGGGTTTAGGATGCATTCTTTAGGGTCTAGGGAAGTTTCTTTATGGCCACTTGTGTCTCTCTTTTAATGTTTATGTGCCTGCCACAGAAGTGTTGGAGATTATGAGTCAGAATAGTGAAGAAGAAAGTGCTGGTTTTGTCATTTAATATTGTAGAGAGGTACATGGAGGGATTCATCCCCCTGAAACAATGTCCTAACAGTTAACCAGAATAGAAAAAATGGTTTGCCATAGATAAGCTAATGTTGATCTCCTTCTTTGTCTCTCCGAGACTACTGCGCCTTCACTGACCCGGTCTTATTGAAAAGTAGGAACAGAAATCTGACAGACGCGATGTTTTTTTGAAGGGATCTGCTCCGGATTATCACTGTTGTTGGTTAAAATTTCCAAGCAGTGTTATTACACTTACAAGCCTGGCATTCACACCTCTGTACACAGCAGTCCTATAAAGTAGGCTACTCACAATTACCACCACAAATAGTGGTGTAACCACTTATTGACTCAAACAGGCTTAATGTGCAGTCTGTTAAACTATAATATGCCACAGCTGGTGGTGTTTTCATTTACTTACAATCATGTCTCATCATGTCACGATATGCTTAAGTCTGTATTTCACTGGCTTTGTATTTTTCCAAGTAACAACTGAGCTCAGCTTATAAGAATTTTCTGTAAATCCCTTTTCCATGAGTGAATCAAGAGCAGAGTTATTACAGCATATGGGTCATTAAGATATGGACATTATTTATAGGGTAAATTAGCCACAGCTTGTCCAGCTCTGGTTCGTTAATGTGAGGTATCATTTTATTCTGAAAATGCTGTCAGCAGCAGCCTGAGCAACGCAGAGACAGACTGTGTTGCTCAAATCAACAAACTGAAAACAGACAGAGCTGCAGTATCTCAGATGAGATTTGAAATTTATTTTCCTGTAATGGTTTCTTGAAAATCGTAAGTAAAAACATGATAAAAGCCCAGTTTCAGGCAAACTATATCAGCAAACATATTCAATAAAGTAAAGTTTTTGCAATGTGAGGCTCTCATATGAATGAGACGAGAGTTGGAGAGTAAGTGGATATACACAACTGTTTATTTTGGCCCTATGACAAAAAATGTCCCTGCCAAAGATAAAATCAAATCTGTGCTCTTACTTGATAGCTAATGGCTCTATTGTCATTCAGCTTCAATTAAGGTGACCACAGTGCAGTGCAGATGATGAGGTAGTGATTGAGCTCTTAGGTAAACACGCCATTCAAAATGTCATTTGTGTGTAATATTTATTTAAGCACTTGATCGTATATCGGAGATCCTCTAACAAGGAGTATATCTTTATTTTTTTCACAGGCAATGCAAGAATACGGAGGTCTCAACCTGCTCTCATTCCTACAACGTCCAATATGGAGACCGGGGGAGCTGCAGGGAATTAATTCAGAAAATTCACATTGGCTTCTGCTGTCACCAGTTTTCTGCAGGGGTTTCTGAGCAAATGAATTTTGAGTAGGTGAGTTTTTTTTCAATTTAGAAGTAATAACACAAATAAAAGTACTCTGAGTTTTTTTCTCCTTAATGTTGACTGAAATATTGTGTACTCAAACTTCTTTAAGAAAAGTGTCACGCTATATATACTATGTACATGTGATATTTAGTGCTATACTACAAAAAATGACATACCACACTATAATGTACTGCCATGAAATAATTCAATTTGTCAGTGTTTCTCAGTTGCAGGAATCTCAGTTGAAAATCATTTTCAAAGCAATGTGTGAAATGTTCACATCGAAAGTTACATTTTGTCACAACATTTCTTGTTGCTTAAGGCCAGTCTTGTTTATTTGGCTAAGTGATGCTATATGAAAGCCAAAGCACTGCTGGAACTGTTCTCAGAAGATTGTCTGTGTCATAATGGCAAAATCTAATTGGTAGAATGTTAATCTTGAAATTCAGTTAGTAGCATGTTTATCTTCAACTTAAGCAAAATTGCATTATATGTAGGTTCCTAAACTGGCAGAGACACAATCTGCTCAGGCAGAAGGGAAGATGGAGAGATACAGGCTTATAGGTTATATTGTATGTTACATAACATTCTTATCCTCACTGAATAGTGAATAATGGACATGCTGAAAAGGTGTGTGACAATGAGAAACAAGTTAATATAGACTTTTTGTAGAAACTAGTGATTATATGGCCATAAATTTTAATATGGTGGTGACGTATGTACATTGGTCAATTTGGTCAGAATTATTTTTGTAGGTTTTGTCTTATAAAATTCTAGTTTTGCCAACATTTGTAGCCATCTATGCATAATGTAATTGCTCATTTAATTCTTTGATATGCTAAAAAAAAAAACTGTCAGAATATTAACATTGTCTATATTGTGTGGGCACAGATGGTGGAGAACATACAGTATTTTTGGCCAACAAGAGCCCTTGTCATCCGCCTCCTAAGTGAGATGTGATTGTGAGCATATCAGTAATGCCTGTGATGCCATCAGTGGAGTGTGGGGCATGAGTGTGTTAAGATGCAAAAAATAAATCAAACATACAGTCAGCTGGAAGACCACGATCCTGTATGCTACCATGAAGTGAGATTATAGGGTTATCCAGCTATCTTTAGCTTTTTCTCAGGTTTTTTGGTATCACAAAGATGGCTCACGTTTAACCAGCATAGATCACCATGGTAACCTGTACTGCATGGACAACCTCCAGAGCAGGTTAACTTCAGCGGATTACCTCAAAACCTGTCAACAACCTGACCAATGACCACTCAGATCACTCGGAAAATTCCTACAGGATCCCGACATAGACAAAAAAGTTTGCAATAAAGTGACAAACAAACTTCAAACAAACCACTAATGGTTCTGATGTCGCTTGTAATTAATAGCTCCACCTCTTTCACATGAACACGCTCGTAGGCGGATAGGTAAACTCTGAGTTAACACAGCCCGTTGATAGGTTCGTGATATTGGTTATCCAGGATGACCAATGTTAGGCTCAGTGAAGCCAGATAATCCCAAGACAGTCAGACAAAGTTGAACTCGTGGTAGAGGCACCAGAGGAAGAGAATGAGATCATCATCCACTGTTGGCCTGTTTATGCTGTTTCCTGAGCCCAGCCTATTGAGGTGCACATCACAACAAACTCTCAGCTCCATGCACCACCATAACTGAGGATTAAAGAGAACAATCACCAGAACACACTAGCAACAGGGAAACAGGCCAAGTTGGATGACTATTATTAAACTCTCTCTATATTGTGTCATTCATTGAAATTAGTGATCCACGATTTCTAACATTAACATATGTGATGTGATGGCCTCTAGGGTTGCCTTGTCCTTGGCTTCTGCCTGTGTTCTTTGTCTCCCTACAGCTACTGGTAGGTGGAGTTTGCATTAGTGCAACTGGGAGCACCTGGCCAGTCCCTCCACAATGCATTGAAGATCTAGCTGTCCCAATTTTTCTCTTTCACTCCATCAATGGATCTCCTCCATGGTTTCTTTTGTTTGGTTTAAATAAATGCGATTTGTTCGTTCTTTCAGTTACAACTGTCCGCATTTCCCTCCTTTTGTCACGGCCTAAGAGCTGCGTTGTGACACGTCGAGTTTTATCCTGTTATAAAAGAACTTTAACCTGAGTGGGTAATGAAGGAAAATCCAAAACAACACAGACTGCGATTACATCGCAGGTAACAAGGCATGCTTTAGAACAGGAGTGGTGCTTTCACAAAGTGGTATTCATTAAAATTCAAGACTGTCTGTTAAAGTATACTGAGAAACCAAAACAAATAAAACCTGCCAGTAAATCAAAATGAGAAAAAATATCAGCAGTGGTTTGTTTAGTAGAATCAAGCATTGCTGTTGTTGGTTGGGCTTTAGTTTCCAACTGCATAGAGAATGCAAAGGAAATGTTGTCAGTAATATTCTTATTGAAAGTACACGTTTTCTGAGATGTTTGAAAAAGAAGGAAAGTCCTAACTCTGAATTCTATAAATGGAGCCGAGACTGATATATGCTCAGTTTTATGTAGTGCTAGATTTTAAATGGTGTATGTATTTTTAAATGTCTGTAAGTGAGTGGTTTGCCAGTGTTCTTGAAGCACAGGCAGCCTTATTTTGGAAGAATAAGAATATATATATATATATATATAACTACTATATATATATGTACAGTCAAGCCCGAAATTATTTATACCCCTGGCAAATTTTGACTTAAAGTTACTTTTATTTAACCAGCAAGGTTTTTTTTGCCCGGAAATGACACAGGCTTCTCCCAGAAGATAATAAGACAATGTACAAGAGGAATCATTGTGGAAAAAAATATTTCTCAGCTTTTATTTACATTTGAACAAAAAGTGGCATGTCCAAAATTATTCATACCCTTTGCAGACTGTCACAGTCTATGGGAA